CAATATTGAATACTAGTTAAGCACCGATTATAATGGAAGTGAACGGTGGTAGTGGTGATGGTGAAAAAACGGTGATGATTGTAGTGGGTGACGACGATCGTGGTGGTGGTGGCAACCATGGGTCGCAATGATGACGGTGGTGGTAGGTTTTGGATGACAATAGTGATAGTAGTACTTGTGACTGATGGTAGTTGTGATGTGGGCGACGATAATGGTGGTTAGCAGTGGTGGTGGTGGGGCGATAGCGGTAATGGTGGTGGGCGACGACAGGTACTTCTGGGCAATAGTGTGATGAGTAGTGACGAATGATGGTGGTGGTAAGAGTGGTGGAGATGGATGACAGTGGATACTGATAATGGTGACTGATGACGGATGGTGGTGATAGATGTGATCGGAGTGGGTGACAGTGGTTTGCAGCAATGGTAGGCAATGATAGGGTGGTGGTGGGCAACAATGATGGTGAGCTGGCAATGGTGATAGTGGTGGTGCAGTGGCGACGATGGGGGTGGTGATAATAAGGATGATGGTGGTGGGTGACGATAATGATGGTGGCGGGGCAGTGATGATGGTGGTGGTGGGATGGCGATAATGGTTGTAATAGTGGTGGTGGTGGTGGTGGTGGTGGTGGTAAGGTGACAGCAACAATGGTAAGGGTGATGGTGGTGGTGGTGGTGATGCGGTGGGTGTAGTGGCGGTGGTGGAGGGTGGTGTGGGGGTGGCGATGGTGGTTATGGTGGTGGCGCAATGGGATTAGTGCTGATGGAGCTGTTTCAAAACACTAATTTTTTGTTCTAAAGTACTTATGTTCTAAAAACACTTATAAAAATTCTCCCTAAACACACTTTTAGGAACCTATTTTCTCTATTAAATTTGGAGTGTTAATATTAGTTGTCAGATTAACTTTAAAATAAAATTTAAAGAGATCTCAACCGTGAAAAGTAAAATTATTTTATTTATATTTTAAAATTTGGATTATATTGTATTTTATTCTATAAACTAGTTATTTCTCATACCTGAAGGTATAGAGTAATAAAAAAATAGTTAATAATAAACATATTTGTATTCACTGCTAAAATTAAATTACAAAAATAGAGCAAAAATAAATGAATTTAAATATCGATTGTAATAGGGACGAGCGATGGTAGTGATGGTGGGCGATAGTGGTAATAGTCAGAGACGATGATGATTGTGATAGGTGACGACGATCGGTTATGATGCTGGCAAGTGTGGGTGTCAATGGTTATAGTAGTGGTGGAACGGTGGTAGGGGTAGGGGTGATGATGGGACAGTGGTAGTGGTGATGGTAAGGTGGTCGCAGCAGTGGCAATGATGGGGATAGTGGTAGTGGGGATGGTAGTGGTAGGGTAGTGGTGATAGGGTGGCGGTGGCGACGGTAGTGATTGTTAGCAAAATAACTTCAACAGATTAGAAGATTTTGATCGATTATTGACTCTCCTTAAGAAAATTATACTCCCACTATATTGCTGCTAGGTTTATGACAAATTCTTCTAGGATTAACAAAGGCAAAACAGAATTTAGATAGTAGACTCTAAAATTCTCCTAATAACATAATAGAGAAATGTTTTTTGTATATATCAGTATTGACGCATCCGTACAGGTATTTATAATACTTTAGAGATGTAAAAATGAGACACAACTCTTGAGCCAAAGAGATGTAAAGAGGAGACACAATTCTTGGGCCAAGAGATATTAATTAATACAAAAATAATTAATTATTTTATAGAGTGCCCATCTTTTGACTTTAAATATTATTTTATTTAAAGCTTAATCATGATCCTTTGATTTGAAATATTTAGAGTTTTCCTTCAAATCTTCCCACCAGCCAAATTTAAAAAATTTGATGTATTTATCTTTTTAAACTCTTACACTCCCTTTCAACTTTTTCAATGTGGGATACCTTACATTACTAACTTTCTTACATTACTAACTATTTTTAAAAGTGATTGTTGTGGACGAGTTGATAGTGGGGGTGACGATAGCGGTGGTGATGATAATGATGGGGCGATGAATTTGGTAGTGGTGATAGTTGTTGTGGCAAAGGTGTTGGTGTGGTGGTGGCAACTGTAATAGTGATGGTGGTGGTGGTGGGGTGGTGGTAGAGCAATTTCAAATCCTATGTTTTTTAAAGTATTGATGAGAAGTAATAAATCGTAGAAGAATTTTTAAAAAGTTATTTCAAACACACCCTTAGAGATCTATTTTTCCTATTAAATTTGGTGTGTTATTATTAGTCGTCAAATTAACTATAAAACAAAATTTAAAGTTAACTAAACCGCGAAAAACAAAAGTTATTTCGTTTATCTTTTAACATTTGAATTGTATTATATTTTATTATATAGATATAGATTTATTTGTTTATTTTGAATTTTTTTTCCTCAACGTTAACTTATCATACTTTAAGATCATATAAACTAAAATTTTCCATCAAATTAATTTGTTAAAACTAGAAAAAAAAAAATTAGATGCAAATGTGATGTGAACCTAAAGAAATAGGGTTTTCAATGCCAGTGAGATTAAACCAAAATCCATCAATGATCAGACCTTTGATCTCTCGACACCATTGTAAGTTTTAAGGGTAAATATAACATCTCACGGTATACTTTACGTTGATTTGTTAGTTGGTATGTTCGTGGCGGGGTTTCGTGGAATCTGTGGCCGGTGGGTTTAGAGTAACAGTCGTATGTCATGTTTTAAAGATTTCCCATGTGCGCAAAAAAGCATAATAACAATTTTCTGCTATATTTTTTCTTTTATCGGTAAGAGTGCTCGAACCAAAATAAAGACTAGTCAAGTTGTGTGTAAATTATAAATTTAAATAATAATAGGGCGAGCTGTAAATTTAGACGTCTTGAATTCAACCTTTAACAATTTTTTAACCTTTGACAATCTTTCAGGCCAGGATATAAGAGATTTATCTTTCATGAATAACTTAATTTCAATGTAGATCACCGTCCATTGATCGGAGAGATTTATCACTCATAAATACTATAATTCTGGCATGAATAGTCGATATTTAATCGTAATAGCAATGAAATTAGTCGAGTTATACATTAATGGGCTCAAACACTCTTTATTGTTTAACAAAAAAAAAAAACCACTTTCCACCCCAAAATATATTCAAATTCTTAATTGACACTTAAAATATTATAAAATATATCTTATCATTTTTCAGCCACACTCATTCATATGAATAAATATTGAATATAACAGTTACACTAAATATAAAAGTGAATCTCATTTATTCAAATAATTAACCACAATTCCAGAAAAAAAAAATGGAATCACCTTGTCCAATTATTTATTGAGTAATACTATTGAGACTTTATTATAACAGTTAGATCAACTTTAAGTTTTAATATTTTCAATGACTATAATAAATGAAAAATGTTATACGTCTCAAATGAAACTAAAAAATTACAACTCAAATGCATATCATCTCTTAAATAAATGTCAAATAAATAAGTGTCACTTAAGAAAAGTTAATAAGATACACTCATTTAAATGATAATATGTATTTTTATTTTTATTTTTTGAGTTCCATAGCAAATTAGGTAAGGAAATTAAGCTATTAAATGAAGTCCAATAACATTCCTCATATTTATTTGGGTAAATTGTACCGTTAGTCCATGATATTTGCCACTTGTTGCACTTTTATCTTTAAAGTTTTAATTTCGTCAATTTTATCCTTCATGTTAACACATTAACTCACTTTGGTCCTTACCCTTAACTGTCGTCCAAAAAAGTAACAAAAAACCAGCACACATTAGGCACATGATGACTATTAAGAGTAATTATGTCATTATTCAATACACCCCCGTATACAAACATCTGTATTCTAAGTTTAAAAAATATTAACCATGTACCAAACACATTTTTTCTTCCTCATCAATTCTCGCTGCTGCTTTGCTCTCTCACAATACACAATACCCATACTCCTCTTTCTCTTTCTCTTTAAACTAAGTAATACCCTACTGTTAGAAGGTGGAGGCGGCATGGTGGCGATTATCCCTAATAATCGGCGACCACCCCCATCTCTACCCATCTGCCACCACTGATATCCACCACCACTACCGTCGCTGTCCTCTCTCTCTCTCTCAACGCCTCACACAAAAACCTAACCTCCACTGCCCTTACAATTCTCCATACGGTTGCCACCATTTCATCAAGTACTCCACGGATCGTAACACACCACCTCTTTCCTTTTCCACTGCGACCCGTGAAACCCAAAACCATCAATTTTCATGTGCTCAAGCATATTTCAGGGAATTAGGAAGGAGACAAACAGAGATCTACAAAGAATTTTGTCAACTATGGAATCAAAATCCTAAACTAATTCTTCATCAATTCAAATTTGGAATCGCAATACCGAATCTGAGCAAGCAATTCCGATTGGTGCCATGAAATAGAGCTTCATTGTCCATGGGAGCTGTAGCAAAATAGGTATTGGTGTGATTACGTTGTTGTTGTTTGTGTATTTGTGTGTTTGATTGAGAGAGAGAAATATTAGGTGTGAGAGAGGAGAGAGATAAACATTGTGTATTTGTTGAGAAGTGTCGGTGTGCGTGCTTTTTTTGTGGGCGTGTTGTGTTTATGTGTGCAAGTGCTCAAAACTTAAAAGAGAAACAGAGAGATGGTGTATGTTTTTTTTTGTGGGGATACTATTTGAGAAGAGAGAAAAGAAAGATGAAGATGTGTGATTGGTACCATGTTTAATGTTAGTCAAATAAGGGATAAGGTTGTTTGAAAATAGGTATTGACATGAAATACCAAAAATACTTGTCAAAATTGTCATGTGTCAGGCACATGATATTTTTCGTCTCTTTTTTAGATAGCAATTAGTGTCAAGGACCATATTAGTCGAATGTATAAACTTTGAGGATTAAATTGATAAAAATAAAATTTTGAGGACCAAAATACAACTAACCATATATCTTAGGGACTATTGGTATAATTTACCTTATTTATTTTAGTATTTGACGGTTACACGGCACGGCTACACCGAATATGTTCTCCATTCCTATACAGTATAGTCAAACATGGCGAACTCCATTCCAGTTCCAACGAATAAATGTCGTCGGACACATGCACAAGCACTGTAATATACACTACAGCGGAGAAGCCAACCAACCCGAGAGAAGAGAGAGATCAAAGTGAATAACTCTTCTAATTCTCCCATGGCACAGAAGAATTATAGCGGCCTCATGATCGACCCAAGAAGTGGCTTTTGCAGATCCAACTCTACATTCTACAGCAAACGCAATTCAATTCCTTTACCATCCAATGAATCTCTCGACGTCACCACTTTCATCTCGTCTCGTGCCCACCATGGCAAGACGGCCTTCATCGATGCAACCACCGGTCGCCGCCTCAGCTTCACGGAGGTATGGAGAGCTGTCGATTCGGTCGCTTCTTGCCTCTCCGACATCGGGATTCGCAAAGGTCATGTTGTCCTCCTCCTCTCTCCTAACTCCATTTTCTTCCCCATCGTTTGCCTCTCCGTCATGTCCCTCGGCGCCATCATCACCACTACTAACCCTCTCAATACTACTCGGGAAATCTCCAAACAAATCGCTGATTCAAAACCTGTTCTCGCTTTCACTATTCCCCAACTTATCCCCAAAATCGGCCACTCAAACCTCCCCATCGTACTCATCGGCGAGGATCTTCATTCAATTCCTCCCGATTCCACTTCCAATTCCAGAATCGTGACAACATTAGAATCCATGATGAAAAAGGAACCGAGTAAGAGCAGCCGAATCAAGGAGCGGGTGACTCAGGATGACACGGCAACGCTACTTTACTCTTCTGGTACTACCGGGGCGAGTAAAGGAGTAGTATCGTCTCATAAAAACCTCATAGCCATGGTTCAAACTGTTGTAAGCCGGTTTCGATTGGAGGAAGGAGAGCAAACTTTTATATGCACCGTCCCGATGTTTCACATCTACGGATTAGCAGCTTTTGCGACGGGATTGCTTGCATCAGGATCCACGGTGGTGGTTCTTTCCAAATTTGAGATTGACGAAATGCTTTTGGCAATTGGCAAATATTCTGCAACCTACCTACCTCTCGTGCCACCAATACTGGTGGCATTAGTAAATAACGCCGATCATATAAAGAAAAAGTACAATTTGAGAACACTTCACTCTGTTTTGTCTGGTGGTGCGCCGTTGGGGAAAGATCTGATTGAGGGGTTTGTGGAGAAGTATTCGACGGTGACGATTTTGCAGGGGTATGGGTTGACTGAATCCACGGGCATCGGGGCTTCGACGGACTCACTGGAGGAGAGTCGACGGTATGGAACAGCGGGACTGTTGTCGCCGAGCATGGAGGCTAGGATTGTTGATCCGGAGAGCGGAGAGGTGTTGCCGGTTAATCGGACGGGTGAGCTTTGGCTGAGAGGTCCCACAATTATGAAAGGTAAAAGTATAGTATTTTTTTCCACACGTTTGCCACGTTCTTGGTGGACCTGTTACTTTCTTCTTTGAGGACACCGTGGAATAATGACATGTGTCCACTATGCTTGTCCCACCATTATCTTGAAGAGAAATCAGTTACATCCGTCTCCAAAAGCCATTTTGATCGATACATTGCCATTGACGGGCGGGTTTGATAAGCCCAGTTGCTTAGGAAGTGTTTCAAAAGTTATTTAGTTGTTTCTATTTCCATAAACATATGTATTAGAATGTTATTACAACACTAGAAATATGATAAATTAAGAAATAAAATATATCTAAATTAAAATAATTTATGTTACTAACATAAGAATATTTAATGGAGTTTTAAATATATTCAAGATTTTATGTAATTCTAAAGATGAAGGCGTGTCTCCTTTCGAGATCTCTCATTTTTTAGTTACCATTTTATTTTGATACATTTCATTAGCTTTAATATAAGTCATAAAAACTCATTACTCAAGCCAAATAAATTATAAATAATTGACAAATCTTATGATATATGTGATCGATCTGAATATCTTCAATGATGACTTTTCATTTGTATGATTCATAGTTTTTTCAATAACCCACTTTACTAAGTATATGGCGAATGTATTCACCATGGAGATATGTACGTGTATCCAAATATGATAAATACTCTATTAATTATCTAATATGTGCAAAAAGTATCTGATATGTATTTGTAAGTATATGAATATCAGTGTCTGATACATATCGGATATGGATACGTTGCCCCAAGCAAAATATCTATGCTTCGTAGAGAGATGACAAATAAAGCGTATTAATTGATTGAGTCTTGCTTGAGATCACTGTTCTGGCCAATTAAGTTGTGAAAAAAAGAATCATAGTCTTTTAATTATATACTTTCACATGAGTTTTTTTATTTATTTTTTAATATGCCATAGTGTGCCTACAACCGATCAAACTATTGCATTATTCTTCCAGTTTCCTTTTTTTTTTTTCGTTAGTGAAATGATTGTTAATGAATCAAATGACACAAAAAGATGACAATATGTAAGATTGACGGTCCCTATTGTAGTTATTGTTTCGTTCTATACATTGCTGGTGCTGGAGAATAGGATCTGATCCATCACTTGAAGGGAAACATTAGTGGACTAAGTTTATCTAAAAACTAGCCGGATACTTATATTAGCTCATTTTAAGCAAATGTGATTGAAGAAGTGAGAGATATGACATCAATATTGGTTTATTTATCGCCATTTTTCTCCTTAATGATCTCAATTAATTCCCTCTTACAGGGTCTGTCAAGGACAGTTTACAATTTTCAAGTTTTTAGATATGGTATCTATGTTACCTGTGAAGCAAGATCCCTATGAATTTCTACAGTGTTTGGCTCTGTTTTCATTTGCCGGCACATTTATGTTAATCTGTTCTGCAATGTTTTTTCCTCATAGGTTATTTTAGCAATGAAGAAGCAACTGCATCAACTTTGGATTCAGATGGATGGTTAAGAACTGGAGATCTCTGCTATATTGATGACGATGGATTCATCTTTGTGGTTGATAGGTTGAAGGAGCTAATCAAATACAAGGGCTACCAGGTTAATCATTTCTTACAATTTGGCTTCTTCATGAAACTCCTGCAACCTAAGCCGATTTGTCATTCTTACTTGCATGGTTGGTCCATTTTCCGCAATACAAAATATTGCATTTCATCTCAGCCGATTACTCATTAGTCGTCAATCGCACATGTTGCCCACTGCTGCATCTATCAATGTTCTTTGAGATTTTGCTCACATGAATCATTCACTTGATTGGATAGGTTCCTCCGGCAGAGCTAGAGGCTTTGTTACTCACTCACCCAGAAATTGCTGATGCTGCTGTTATACCGTGAGCTTTACTCCATCTTTGTGAAAAAAAATTTGCGAATTTATTTCTAATAAAGGATTATGCTTATTTCTAGAATCCTTTACTTTTTTTTTCTTCTTATAGCAAAAGAAAGCAATCAATCTTATATGATCGGTCCTTTAAATTAGAAGAGACTTAGTTTGTTATGTTGTGTTTCAGATTTCCAGATAAAGAAGTTGGGCAATATCCCATGGCATATGTGGTACGAAAAACAGGAAACAATTTGTCAGACACTGCGGTCATGGACTACATTGCTAAACAGGTAAATTTAAGAAATGATAACAAAAAAGAGGTCTTGCCACTGACTTGTTTTGACATTTAAACTCCATTTCAGCTGTGATGGCTTGCTAGACTGTCAGGCCTGCTAAACTTAGCATGTTAATCTGCATTCAGGTTGCTCCATACAAACGAATCCGGCGAGTAGCATTTGTAGCTTCCATCCCCAAGAATCCATCAGGCAAGATACTCAGGAAGGATCTGGTAAAACTTGCAACCTCCAAACTTTGAAAGGGCTTGAGTTTTCGCTTAGGAAGGAGAGAGGACAATATTGTATAGTTTGGCTGTGCGTTTCAAATCCATATAAAGTAGCAACTGTATTTCTTGCTTGTGTTTTATGATCCTGGTTGTTGTTGAGCATCTTTTTCAACCCCCATGTAGTCATGTTGCGTACAAATATGATGAAGTTCTTGAGATAGTCAACGATAAATAAAGCATGAAGAAAAAACATTTTCGGGTGCCATTATGTGTAGTATAGTTGCAAATGTATACTCGTTTCGGACATGCTCTGCTTACGTGGAAGTCTTCCGACGTTGAAGTAGACAACCAGGAGAAGGCAGCATTCTGTAGCCCCATGAAACAAAGCATTTTGATTGCACAGCTAATTTTCGTAATCTCCAAATGTACAAGTGTGGCCAGCGATATCTCCACAAACTTCCAATCCAGAAGCTCAAACCTATTCAACAAATGAGAAAACCCACACGTCAATCTTGTTATTATTGTTAATGATTTTCGTTAACACGAAATTTTTGAAGAGTCAAATATATGCAAACTTAGAGACCCAAAGATACTTATGCTACAATAAAATAGTCTTACCTTTGCTTCAATAAACCCAACTTGATTGTGGACATACAAATAGAGGAAAGAATGGAAGAAACTGAGTGTCCTCTACAAGTGGCAATGGTTTTAAGTGCTTTGTCTTTCTCCTCAAGAGGATCAACAAAACTCTTGCCGGACTCTGTTTCGTCAGCTAAACTGCTTGGCCCATATAATTGCCAGGCCAGGCCCATTTTCCTGCTTAGACAAAATTAATCCCTCTCTGACTGTTTTCATCCATAAATTAACAAGAGAAATTTGGAGGCCGGTCCTACTGTATGGACCTATTTGGACTTAAATCCGTCAACGAAACTTATTTGTTATGAAGTCCGTTTTTTGTCAATTTTACCATACTATCCATTCCCTTTAGAAATGAAATAAAACTAAAAATTAAAAACTCATAAATCTCTGGAGTTTAACTAACATTAAAATATGTTCTCTCTCATATCTATCTATAGGCTAAGAGTTTGATTAATATTAAAATTTTCTCTCTCTTTTATCTATCTATATTCATATATAAGTTAGGTATATATATAGTAACATTAAAAATAAAAAATAGTAATATTCAAATACAACAAAAATTTATCATTTAGACATAAAAAAATAATACATTTAAACACAAAAAAAATAGTAACATTTAAACATAAAAAAAAAATTGAAACATTCAATATTAATATTTTTTAAAAATAACAACAGTAACATGTTCAACAAAAATATTAACATGTTCTATAAAAATAGTAATATGCTTAACAAAAATTGTAACATACTTAACAATAATTATTTTTTTCAAATTCAAACACAAAAAATAGTATCATTCAAATACAAAAAATAATAATATTAAAAAAAATTATAATATTGAATATTAATATTTAGGAAAATAATAATAGTAACATACTCAACAAAAATAGTAACATGCTCAAAATAATAGTAACATGAACAATAACATACTCAACAAAAGTAGTAACATGAACAATAACATAATAAAAATAATAATAATATGAATTTGAATTTTATATTCAAATTTATTAATTTTTTTTTGTATTTGAATTTTACTATTTTTTATTGTAATTTTTTTTTGTATTTGAATGTTACTATTTTTTATTTTAATGTTACTATATATACACATAACCTATATATGGATATAAATAGATATGAGAGAGAAAATATTAACTTCTTTTTAAGGAAGGGTATTTTTGAGATAAAAAAATAAAGTGGACTTAAGTCATTACATATAATTTTAAATATGGACTTAACCCCTTATAAATTTTCTTGCAGGACGTATCTCCAAATAAGTATATCTAGGGGGACTCACTTCCAATTTTCACAATTAACAACCGAACGCTGTAGTTAATGGGCTGGTGTTTTAACTCCCAATCAAAATTGAGACCAAACCCAAGGGTAGTTAAGTAGAGGTAGAGATGAGTCGTAAATGTAAACATTTTGAATTTAAAATTTGACAATTATTTTGAATTCAGATCATGAATTTTTTAATTTTAGCGTGAATGATTTACCTTTGATCATATAAAACACAGACACGGAGATATAACAAAATTTTAAAAGATTGAACAAGGGGTACGACAAGGATACAATTATTAAAATAATATAATATGTTTTTTTAGATAATAATACAGTTATAATATATTAAAAATAAACCATATATTATATAATATTAATAACAAGACATAATAAATATTAATGTTTTGATTAATATTAAAATAAATTAAAATAAATATCCACCATTTTCATCAAACATCATTGTCTCTATTAACATTCACATCATATAAGTAAAATTCATATCATATAAGTTATATAACAAAAAATATATTAAAAAAATAAAAATCACATCCCTTTTAATAGTTAACAATAATTTTTTAAGAAGAAAAAAAAATTTGATCGTATCTTGGCTATGTTAGATTGAGTCCACTATTCAGAACACTTCTAACTGTAACAGACGTGTGTCCAATATTACCACGACACCTTTTCAAAAAATACCCATACTTCCTAACTTTAATCCGAACGAAAAGAGAATTGATCGAAATATACGCAAGTTAATTCTGATATAAATGCAAAAAAAAAAAAGTCAAGATACATACAAGTATCATCCCCGACTACTTTCTAATTTAAAGAAAAATCAAAACAGTAGCTGATCTGCAATTATTGGCGTCCTAACTTTGCTGATTTTTGCTAAACTCCGAAGAAATGGATGAAAGTATCAAGTCTTCCAAACTCATGCTGACCATATTTAAAGTTGAGATTTTGTGCATTATTTTGTCCTAACCCTAACCCTAACCCTAACCCTAACCCACCAGTCAATCTCTGAAAGTTCGACTTTTTAGAACTATTTTTTTGTCTTCTTAAATGCAAGCTCTCCTCATTCCTTTATTTGGTGGTTCTTCAAATAAGATGAAAAATGGTCCGCTGATATTTGAAGTATATATAATTACTTATAAATATTATATAGCTGCTCCATCATATCGTTTCTTGTAAGATTTAAATTTACGAACTCGAGATAATATTTTTTTTTATCTTGATTATATCTAATTCTCTTATTCGCTCTAACGAGTGGGGTTGCTTCTTTTAATGACAATCGCAAGAGTGTGTTGCCTAATGGAAGCGGCAAATTTCTCCAATCCATAGCAAACGAGTCCAACAGCCAACCTCAAATAATGCAGAGAAACTCAGTCAGCCAAGTGTAGAATAAATTCAGAATAAGGGATAACATTACGATATCGACTTTAAAATTGTATTGTAATTCGATTTTAATTTTAAATTGAAAGATTTATAATTATTAATCAAAAAAAAAACTAATAAAGTTATTACACATGCCACGATTTTATTAAATAAAAAAACTAATATAAAAAAAAATCATATTTCAATATCGTAAGACCATAGAATACAAGCCATCACCATTTTTGCTATATTTACTATCTTTTTGTCCAACAGAAAGGGACAGGAACGCCGATAAAGTCAATACAATCAGGTCTATTGCTGAGTTTGCGTGCTTCCTCCTACGATTAGAAGGTCTTTTAGGGTCATTGGAAACTCTCATTTTATCATGTTATTTTCATTTCATTTATTTATATAATTTGATGGTTTAATATATCATATTCATTGAATTTATTATTGATCTCAAATAATTGTAAATAATTAGGTTATTAAATTATGTTCATAAATTAGATTCAAGTAACATTATTCTCCATCTATAATATTTTTTCCATGTCTAAGTTCACAATCATTTATCCCAAAAAAATTACAAAAACAATCATTAAACCCATCCGAGGCTCTAAGATATTTGAAAACAAAAAAAACAAAAAAACAAAAAAAAGGCATATGCTGTTAATGAATCATAACTTTGACAAGAGGAAGGAATATCAATTCTAAAACCGTAAAGAGAATGGATTTACAATGTGTATCAAAATCTTAAGCATAAATTCTAGTAATTAAAATGGTTTTGAAAATTTCACAATTCAATTTTTAATCATTGGTTACGAAATAGAAATACGAATTCGAGATACTATGGATATATATAATAACATGGCAAAACCTACAAAATTAGGATACATGTACGCTTAGGATCCATCTATGAGAAGGTGTATTTGATAATTTTATTACAATCTAACAACTTGATAATTATAATTTCTATTAAGTTCTTCAACAATAATACAAATAATTAGCAATTTTTTATTTTCAAGAAAATTTCAATCATATTATTATTGTATATCCATAAAGCGAACGTGACTAATTAATGAAATCATAAGTAAGATTTAACTAGTTGATTTGCTTAAAAATCGTTATTGTCAAGAGATATTATATTTTATACTCAAACTCAAATGAATTTTTTCTTCACATATTGCATTATACGTGAATTTTAGAGGTAAAGGTAACGATTAAAATTAAAAATTATTTATATTTCTATTCATATCTATTTTCTATATAAAGTATATGTATTGTGGATCATGAAGTAGTATTCAAGTATTTTATTATTATTGAATACATTTATAGAATGGGGAGAATCCCAAGATTCCTAGAGTGTCTGAAGTACGTGTCGCCCAGCATTATTGTAGTTCCATTCATATGCACCCAATTCCATGTTCGATTTTCCAGCCAATAATGTGGGCTTGTCTAGACTTCTATCCGTTGAAAAAAAAAAACAAAATAAGGCATTTTTTATTTTGTTTTATTGGTTGACAAGTAACCCTCTTTTCAGTCCAATAAAAAGTAAGTCATTCACGATGATATTAGTATATTTATCGAGGATAAATCTCTTATAATTTGGACTCAAAGAATTACCAAGATTCAAATTCAAAATGTCTAGACTTACGACTCGTCCTTATTATCACTTAAGCAACTTTAGAGTTGTGTATTTTACTTCTTTGTTTGGACAAAATGGAGAAAATACTATTTGTGTAATTGGCCATATAACCCTTTAGAACTTTACTTGGTCGAAGTGCACAAGCGAAGAAGGTTTTTTAAAAAACTTCTACCTACATGGTGAGCCAAGGAAGAAATTGGATGTTGACAACCAAGAACTTGACCAAACACAATGCAATAAATCAAATAGGAAACAAAACTACAAAAAACAGTATTTCAGTTGCTGCACACAGCTAGTCATGCAGCAAGCATAGAGTAAATTATTACAAAAAAATATTGTTATTTGAAACTAATTTATTAATTTCATTCGTTGACATAATATATTATAATCATTAAATTGATTACGAATCACAACTAATATTAAATTTTATCGACAATTTAATGACGGTAATTCATTAGATGAATTATTAGGGTCAAGTGGCATTGCCCAATTATGACTACCCCAGCATCAAGTCTACTCTAAGCGCCGGTCAAGAAAGTTTGTTGACCATACAGCATAGCCCCCCGGTCCCTCACTATATATCTTCCTGCTTGCCTAAACTTATTTGCAACGTATATTTGTCAACAGTTAGCTTGTTACATGCTGAAGTGAAAGTGAGAGAGAGAGAGAGCATGGGTGAGGTGGTTGAGGAAAGTGGCATCAACCCACCGGCAATGGGCACAGACTTGGTGGCTCCGGTGGTCTCAGCCCCTCCCATGCAGATGCAGTATAGCACACCATCGTGGTCCAGGAAACCACTGCTCTCAATAGAACATCCAAATGCTGCAAGCAACGATAATAATAATACCCTCCAAAACTCTCGCACTCCAAACTTCATCTCACCCTTGGGTAGCCCTATAAGGAGAGCTCTACAACTCACCAAGCTTGATTCTCAAGATGCTTGGCTTCCCATCACAGAGTCCAGGAATGGCAACGCCTACTATGCTGCCTTCCACACTCTTTGCTCTGGCATCGGAATTCAAGCACTTGTACTCCCTGTTGCCTTCACCAATCTTGGCTGGTAAGCCTTAATTTTTACAAACACATTTACAGTTTGCTTTGGTTTTTTTTTCAAAAATTGATACTATTTTACGTGCTTTAGTGGCCTTGTTCAAAGATGACGCTCATCTTGTAATTTTCCAAACTATATATTTTTGTTTCATTTAGATCAGACAGAGAAGACCATGGTCTTCGAAGTGTATTTGCTAGGCACTCCATGAAATTAACGTTTTGAAGTTTGCTGCAATATTTGCCGGTAGACTTTTTGGAAAGAAAGAAAAACTACAAAATCAAATAGGATTACATTTGAAAGCAGTACTCTCGTGATTATGCAAGAAAAAGCTGAATCTCACATGATATAAAGTCTATTTCATTGGGTATCAGCGATGCATACATAGAAATCCCTTTTTTTACATCTCACATGATATACATGATCGGTCCTTTTGACATCCTCATACATAATATGAACCAATGGACCTTAATATGAAGTACTCTGTGTTCAAAACCTGCATTTAAAAATTAATTTTTAAAAGAAGGGTATCCAAAAATTTATATACGTACACTCAGGTTCATATTTAGACGATGGAGTACTGTGTAGCTGCATGGAATTCCACTGCATCTTAACTCAAGTGATTAAGATGTGAAGTTGAAACTAGTCAACAACTGGCCTGGGGTTCTATTCGAGTTGTAAATTTAAGCCAATGGAAAGAGTTTGGTGCTTGGTCTCCAGAATTTCGTTTTAATTCCATATATGTATCTTTCTTTGAGCAGGACGTGGGGGATTATTAGTTTGACAGTGGCATTCATATGGCAGCTTTACACCTTGAGGCTTTTGGTCAAGCTTCATGAATCCACTGAAACTGGGATGCGTTACAGTCGATATCTCCAGATCTTCATTGCTACTTTTGGTAACATTATCCAAACACGATACGATACAATTTACTTAAGACCCAATTTGAAATTCTGTAGTAAATGATTTATTAGGTCTATCTAATTACAGGTGAAAAAATGGGGAAAATCTTTGCTTTGTTTCCGATCATGTACCTATCAGGTGGCACCTGCGTTGCCCTGATCATTGTTGGTGGTTCAACCTCGAAGCTCTTCTTCCAAATCGTATGTGGTGGGCATGGTTGCTCGGCGAAGCCATTAGCAAGCGTGGAATGGTATTTGGTGTTTACATGTGCTGCCGTTGTTCTATCTCAGCTGCCCAACTTAAATTCCATAGCTGGAGTTTCCCTAGTCGGGGCAATCACCGCTATCGGCTACTGTACAATAATGTGGTTTGTGTCTGTGACAGAGGGTAGGCTTGATGGGGTTTCCTATGATCGAGTGAAACCGGAGAGCAATATTGTTTGGATTTTTGGCATTCTAAATGCTTTTGGGATCATTGCTTTTGCTTTCAGAGGCCACAATCTTACACTTGAAATTCAGGTACATATATGCTCCACTTCTTGTCACTTTTTTTTTTCCAACGGTTAAGGGGTCTTCGGCTAGTTTATGCACACTTTCATTAGTCTCTTTCTTGGTCTAATCAAATACAGGTCATCTACACCAGAATTAGAATATTCATGAGGGAGAAAAATCTTTCAATACCTGATCCTAAATAGTTATTAAAATTTAAATTCAGAATATCTGAATTTATAACTCGTCTCTATTACCATTTGAGCTAGGGTTCATTTTAATAACTATAAAAACCTATTGGGTTGGGGTATGCCCAACACATTTTTGGCTACACTTTAAACTTGAGATGATACCACTCAAGTCACGGACAGTGGGATTATCTTCTTTCTCTAGCCGATTCAATGACTTGAGTGGTATCATCTCATGTTAAAATTTATTCAATTCATACCTCTAACCTAGTTATAGCCATATATATAGTTGAGTTCATGTCATGTGGAGTTTGGGTAGCATATAAGTATGATCAGAATGTTTCTAGACTAAATTCATACCCACTAATTTTGTTTCAATTTCATATCACGATGGTGGATCGTGTTAAAAATTGTCAAGTTTTATTTATAATAAGGGGTTATAGAGAAATGATACCTGGAATTTTAAACGCTTGACCTTGTAGTTGTCAGGTATTTGGGTAAAAATCATTCACATAAGCACTTTTGGTTGCAGGCTACCATGCCTTCCAGTGAAACGAAACCATCTCACATACCAATGTGGAGAGGGGTCCAAGTTGCTTATGTGATCGTTGCGGTGTGTTTGTTTCCCCTTGCAATTGGAGGTTATTGGGCTTATGGCCGCAAGGTATATATATATATATATAATCACTTGTATTCTCCATATAAGATTCAATATTAACGAACATAAATGTTAAACTGAATCATGCAATATGATTCTCGTTTCAGATACCTGAAAATGGAGGAATGCTGACAGCAATATACGCATACCACGGGCGCGACACTTCACCAGCTGTTCTGGGATTAACAAGCTTATTAGTCATAGTAAATGCTGTAAGTTCATTCCAAATTTATGGCATGCCAATGTTTGACCACATGGAATCCAAGTACACCAGCAGGAAGAACATGCCATGCCCCTGGTGGCTGAGGGCGGTTTTTCGGGTCATGTTTGGTTACGGGTGCTTCTTTGTAGCCGTAGCAATCCCATTCTTGGGAAGCTTTGCAGGTCTAATTGGGGGAATAGCGGTGCCAGTAACCTTTGCCTATCCCTGTTTCATGTGGATTAAGATCAAGAAGCCGAAGAAATATAGCATAATGTGGTGGATAAATTGGGGATTAGGAGTTTCCGGCATGTTACTGGGTGTTCTGTTGACTGCAGCCGGTATTTATGTTGTGATTGACACTGGCATTCAAGTTAGCTTTTTCAAGCCTAACTAATTCAAACAAGGAGGGTGATGAAGTAGTTTCATGTTTGTTTTATGTTTTATTTAGTTGTTATGGACATCAAATACTATTTCTTGTAATGTGTGACCAATATTTATTTATGATTATTATCGACATTTTATTTCCCATAGATTAAGGTTTTGACTGCTAGTGTGCTAAATTTAATTAATCTAGTTTTCTTATGTCAAGTCAAACAGCCGATTAGTTCACTACCTGAATAAAGGATGAAGTTCATGTTTAAGTATCCTCCGGCTAGTTTCTCGTGAACCAAGGTATATGTTAAGTTAAGCGACTCAACTCTTTCCTATGACTAAGCTCTTGCTTGCAACTATGTAACATATTACCCTACCTCCGGTACGAGCAAAGCAAAGGGTGAACTAAAACTAGTAACATATAACCAAATAGGCAGGACCGATGTTTAAAGGCTAAACTTAAATCAAGATCAACCTTTCATGATACCAAATCATCGACACATAATATCACTATGCATTTATGGTTATAGCATTTATTGGTGGCTATCGATATGATGAATATCTACTCAAAAAAATTAATCAAACGTGTGTCATACGTACAACTAGGGCCAAGTGTGTTGCCATAGTATCACGTATTTTAAAAAGAGACTTGTTTTCATAAGCTTTGCAAAGTTAAAAACCCCTAAATCAGACCTGATCCTGGAATTGCAGGTCTAAAGACCTGAAGTAGCCATAAAAACCAGTAGTTAGTGAGAGAATGACAAAACGTGGATAATATTCAGCATCCATCAATGTACTGGCCACATTAAGAGTTGTAAAGGACCATATTTCATATTTCAGTGTTCCTGTAAATATTATTACAATAACTATCCGTCAATCAATGTACTCACGATAGGCGATAGCACTTCAAGAACCTGATCCTAATGGTTAGCTAATTTGAAAAAATATAAGACAATGTACATGCTGTCATACCAAACAGCAGTGCAGGATTTTGCTAGAATTCTCATTTTCACATCCATGAAAATACAATGCAACCTTAGCCCCCCACCCCCAACAAGGGGAAAAGAAAAAGAAGTGCAATTGCAGACGCCAATAAAACAAAAAGTGGATGGACCAAAAGCCATGGTCAAGAATTCTCATAATTTACAGAACAAAGTTGGAGCATATGAAAATGAGTTGCAGTACCATGTGATTCTACATCGATAACGGAAGAAGCATTCTGCGTTTCTTTTTTCGGGCCAGCCTTACTTGCTTTGTGATTTTCATGCATAAAAGCAGAAGCAATGTGATGCATACAAGGATGAAAGCAAGTCTCAAATGCCTGAAATATAATGAAACAGCTGAGAAAACGAGGAATGCCAAAACAAGGAGTTCCCATATTACAAATACCACAACATCCACCCTGCATCCAGAAAAACCCAAAAAATGCAATAACAAGCGTATCAGTAGTGACTAGGCAAAACAATTGCACAAATAATATAAATCCAATCCAAAATCACGGAAACAGAGATTTGAGGACATAAATGCCCCTGCCAATCTAATAACCTGATGAGTCTTCCCAAAAAGAAAGAGCATTAACTAGTTATACAAATAGATAAAGGATGTCTTCAACAAGGAATGAATCCTAACGCTCGAATGCTTAATGTTTCCAGGTATTTTATTCTTTTCTTATGTATATCTAAATTTAATGGTGTTTCGATCCATTCTTAATATGACCAATTCACTGATTCCCAAAATGAAACAATCTATGCGCACATCAAAATTATTGATGCCCAAAATGTTATAGGTGATATACTCTGAAATTCTGATGCTTGCATCAAGCTGCACTCTATCACTCCCAATTATAGCGAAAGGTCAAAAACCTAGAAACAGCACTGTGTGTGTGTGTGTGTATGCCACACAAGGTGCAAGTTTAAAAAAAAGGCCAACTAATTAGTTGGTGTGAATCAACCGCTTCACAATGGGGAAAAAATTACAAAAATGAGGTATTGCAAGTAATTTTAAGCCTCGCGATCTCTAAATTTCGCATGTAAAACAGATAATGAAGAAACATCTTTTGTTCAATAAAGTGAATCTATAATAACTTCAATACATTAAACCTCTCATTCTAAGTTTCTGTAAACTACTAGGAACAGAAACAACATGTATCCATCACCATTTTAAAACCAGTGAATCAAGTCAATCAACTAATTTTTGCCTAGAGGTAGGCCAATATCAGTTGTTTTAGGAAACAGTTGCTGAAACCAAATATTTTCACCATGGACTCCTCAGCCAAACTACATCCAGAAAAACACACAACCATTTGGTAAAATTTCATGAAAGCTCGGCAACAATCTTCCTTAATAGTAAGGTCATCAAAAAGACTGATTCAAATCATCTTCCCACAATGTCTTATATCAAGTTTGTGAAAACAAAACAAAACAACAAGTCCAATCCAAAATAAATCATCAACAAACCAGCATGCTTGGTTCATTCCTATACTCAACCTAGAAAAAGAGAAAATATTCAATGTAATGGTCTCACAACGGCATCACCGCCACGTGGTGCCACCAATAGGAAAACAACAGAGCAAGGGAATCACATACAATTCAATAACTACCCATTCATGTAAGCCAATAACCACCTCATACAAAGTAGTGGGGTTCATTTCATCCATTTATTTGTGTGACATGGCGGTTACATTCAATATTTATTCATAGAAAACAATGCACAATTGACCTGAATTGAATCATACTCAACATCTTATTCTTCGTATAAAAAAGAAATGTATTGTATGTTGTAAACCACGTTTCGTTTTTAACATCATTAATAAAGGGCAGGGGCAGTTTTCAATCCTTCACTCATATCTAACCAGTTACATTACAAGAAGTTGGAAACCACTCTCAACCAACTACATATTGTGTTTCAATTGATAAAAAAGGACACTTTTTATGTACGATACAAGTAGTTTTGTTTTAACATTACAATAGAAGTAGTTAAAAAGTACTCCTCAACATAACCTTGTAAGTGTGGTGGTAGCTATATCTATACTAGCAGGCATCCTGCACGAAATTTGTTATCGCTTCCTCCCATCAAACCCTACCTAACCTTAATTACTGAACAATTCCTCATTAATGTGTTAATAACTTCATATTTGACTGCCATTTTGGAAATACGGTGAAAAAACAATAATTCTCAATATTCTCCATTAATGATCTGTACAGTCATCAAAAATCTCATAAATGACTCCTCAGCAGCAAACCACTTTTCCATGTAATCCTAAATACATTAAAAAGGGCATAACAATGAATGACACTGCACAATTTCTCGTATGGTCGATCCTTCGATAGTTCCAAATTCATGTTTCCAATCTTTTCATATGCATATTTTGTATAGGAATATGAGAACTCTAAATTAGCAGCAGTTCCAATCAGATAATTGAGAAATAAGTCTGAAACACATAAAACATATGTGCAACGATTCTAAATTGAAACCCTAAAAAGGAAAAGCACGAAAGAACGAAATTTTGGTAAAGATCGAACTGTAATTGGATGGAAAACCAGACATTGAATAAAGCGATACCTTGAATAGGCGATATTAGAGGTAGAGGAGAAGAAAGAGACAGAAGCCCAGTCGTGTTTCGATCGAATCTGGTACTCTCTCAGCTGCTCCGCCAGATTCGAACGCGTTATCATCGCTGCGTGACCTCTCGTCTCTCCCTGTCTCTCTCTCTCTCGTCTCTCTCTCCTATTATCTTTGTTTCGATTTGTCTACAATTCGTGGGTCATTTCCGATGGCGTCTTCGCATTGAGACAGCGAAGACTCAATTTGAACTAGACGGAGGAACAAGAAGAGAGAGAAAGAGAGGGGAACGAAAAGCAACAACGTTCCTCCGGGCTATTTTCATTTCTAATTTTTAATATCCAAAAAAAAGAACTTTCATTTTTTTCGGAATTTTTTTTTATCTCGATCGGAAATTAATTAATTATTCGTTTAGTTTTTCATTTCGATTTTTGTGTAGGATTAGGTCTAATTTCAACTTCCACTCTGGAAAATCACTCGAATTTTAATTTATTCCTTTAAAAATATTAATTTACACCCAAAAAAATATAAATACGTATTAATGTGCACCTGAAACTAACTGTTATCTATTTTATTGTTAAAAAAATTTGAATTAATTATAAATTATACCCCTCAAAGTTTAAATATTTCACATTTGTATTCTAAAAAAAAATCATCCATTAATACTAGTTGAGTAACTCTCAATTATATCGTATCACGACATTTTTGTGTCGTATTCGAATCAATAAAAAATATTTTTAACAAAAGAATATTTTTATGTCGAGTCAATTGTGTTGTATCATATATTTTACATTTACGACAATCATATAATACTATTTAATATTATTAAAAAAAATAAAAATATATATATCTTTTATTTATAATACTTGTTAAATAATTATTTTTTGTCTACAGTTGTGTTATTCGTATTTAACTTTAATTTGATCGGATAATCAAAAAATTTATATCTAACTGTAGACAGAAAATAACTATATAACGAACATTGTAAGCAAAAAATATAAATTTTATAATTTTTTTAAAATTTTGAAAAAGTATTTTTTTTATTGACTCGAATACAACACGAAAATATATAATATGATACAATTAAAAGTTGTTTAACAAGCATTAATGGATGAATTTTTTTTTGGGTCACAAATATGAAATATTTAAACTTTAAGAGGTATAATTTCTAATTAGCCTAAATTTTTTTAACAGCAAAATGGATGGAGTTAGCCCCAGATGCGCATTGATACGAATTTATATCTTTCATGATGTAAATTAATATTTTTAAATATTGAGAGTACAAATTAAAATTTAAGTGACCTTTGGGAGTGCAAGTTAAGATTAGCCCTTAGGATTAATATCACTTTTTGTGTACAAAGGATACTTGTTTTGTCAGTTTAGTCTTTAATGTTTTAATTTTATCAAATGCAACCTAAAAAATTTAATTCGTCTTAAATAGTCATTACACAAACGATCCGTTAACTTTTTGACAAAAATAATCTATTATTCTTTTAAACGGTATTATGTGATCAACACGTAATATTTTCTCCTTTGAAAACTTAATGGACTATTTGTACAAGAATCATTTAAACATGAATTAAATATTTTAAAATTTAAATTGACAAAACTAATATATTAAGAATCAAACAAACAAAATGAGTATACTTAAAAAAAACCAAAAGAGTTATTGTTTATTTGGGTTTACATGGACACCTTGACAATTTGACCCTTTATTTTCCTTCCCTATTTTCAATTTCTACCCCCCTCCCCCTCAAAATATCTTTCAGTATATACATTTTTTGTTAATTTTACTGCAGATTACTCATTCTGTAATTGTAAATGTAATGAATTGTTTACATTGACAAATTCATCTTATTTAAAAGATTACTTAAATTCTTAAAAATCTATACTACTAATAAAAGTACCTTAAGTGAAAAAATTTGAATCTATATTTTACCCTCATAAAAAATTTTAATTACAACATTATCTTTCCATAGTTAAATATATAAATTACAATTACGTCCTTTTGTATTTAAATATTCAATTTACCCTCTAATATTTCTTTTACTTCTCCATTATCTTTGTATAAATATCAATATCTATAAAAAAAATAAAAAATTAATTGACTACATTACTCTTAAAAATATATATGCATCATTATAATTTTCAATAAAATGTTTAAAAATTTCATCAACAAATCATACTTTTTCAAATATATATATATAACATTATGACTATATACATGTATTTTTTTTTCCATCTGCACTACTAATAAAGAATGAAACTTTTGCCTAGGTATGAAAATTTTTTGATTCAGTATTTTACTCTTATAAAATATTTTAAATACCACACTATCCTTCAATATTTGAATATCTAAATTGTCATTATATACTTATATGTTTAAATTTCCAAATTACTTATAACATCTCTCTTAATTCTTTATTTTCTATGTATAAATATCAATATTTATAAAACTTTTTAATGAACTATGTTACCTTTAAAACATATATGCATCACTATAATTTTTAATAAAACATTCAATTTAAAAAAAAATATCAATTTAATATTATTTATTTTAAATATAAAGATAACATTATTGTTACATATGTGTATTTCTTTCATCCAAAATTTCAACCATTTAATTTTTAATATAAAAAGAATCTTTTATGTAGTTTTTCTAAATAACTTATATTAAATCAACATAATTCTTCAATTACAGTAAACTTTTCATATTTTATTAAGAGTTTATATAAAAAAATATATTGTATTTTTAAGTAAAACTTGAATTTTAGATTTTTAATATTCTTTTAAAATATATATTATAGAGTAGTATATAATATTTTAAGTTGAATAGTACTTTTAGTCCCTAAAATATGCATATTTTGTTAGTTTGGTCTTCATTATATTAATTTTATCAATTTGGTCATTAAAGTATTTAGTTAATGTTTAAATGATTCATATACAGACAATCTGTTAAATTTTTTATAGAAGTGATCACAGGATACTATTTGACGGAATAACATGTAGTTATTTTCATCAAAAAACTTAATTAACCATCTGGTTAGGGACCATTTAAATAAGAATTAAATATTTTAAAGACTAAATTGACAAAATTTATATACTGAAAACTAAACTGACAAAAAGTAAACTTTAGAGAACCAAAGTGCTATTAATCCTATATTTTATTCCTATTAATCTTACTAATTATATTAAGCATTAATTAGTATATTGAAAATTATATTTGTTTTATTCAATGAATTATAAGTTAAAATATAATCAAATGAATTTTAAATAAATTATTTTTCTCTTTTTTTTATATACTTAAAACAATGAATCGTCAGGAACAAACAAATTTTTCAAATTTTATAAAATAATACGAGTAATAAAAATAAAATTTTGATAAACTTGAAATAATATTTAATATAGGTACACATATACCTAATACGTTTTATTAATATTTTGTATATGAAAATTATTCACATGCAACGCACGTGGTACATTACTAGTAAAAATAAATGAATTTACAAATATGAGTGTTCGCCATTCCATGAAAACAAGAAGATCTTCTAATTGTTTAAAACTTAGAGAGGAGCTTAACGTGGACTCGTGTAATTTTTTTCTTAATTGAAAAATGATTTATAGTCAATGCTTACTAAAACAAAATGATTCTATATATTTACTTAAAAACAATTCTTTTTTGTCGTCAAAATATTAATATTTATATTATCTAACAAGTTGATTAGGAAGAAATGGTTCCTTTTAGAGATGAAAATGAGGTTATTAAGTAGACGGTGTAATTCCAGGGAATTGTTTAAATAATAACAGTGATGATCTATAAATTCAGACGTTTTGTGTTTAAATATTTGTAATTTCTTGAGGCTAAATTATGATAAATTTATCCCTTTTGAATAACGTAGTTCCAACATGTATAATCTGTCTTTAATCAAAAAATATTAGTCAAATTATACAAAAATTTATCTAAATATCCCTAGGGAATTGAAAAAAAAAAAAGAGAGAAGAAGAAGAAGGTATTATTCCGTTTTTTTTTGGTTGGGGGGAAAGAAGAAGAGGTTGCTATAGTTTTAATACAAACCTATGGGTAGGTTAGGATTTATCTCTCTCTCTCTCTCTCTCAATGAATTGTCTATCTTTAGTGGGCTTAGAAGCCCATGTGAACATGATGAATAGAACAGCATTGTGATTTGGGACACGAACCACCAAAATCCGGGCCTAGTCAGCCCAACAGAATGACTCAAATACTTTTAAATAGTTTGCCAGGGCCCATGATTGCACGTGAAATTTGAGTGGCAAAACATGCAAGGGCAGTGATCGGATAGGTGTGAGAGGGAAATGGGCCATTGGAGGGAGAGGGTTTTGCATTGTCTAAATGGGCCGTGGCGACTATCATCAATCCAAAGAGGGAGACAAACAGGTGACATTGTCTTTTTAGTGAAAATTAAGATTGAATTCTGCTTAAGAAATTTATAATAAGTTTAATCCGTGATGTTATTATTTTTTTTGTTTTAGAATTATTATTTTTTGTGTTTAAATATTAATATTTTTTTGTGTGTTTAGATGGTACTATTTTTTTTTAATATTACTATATGTATGTAAGTGTGTGTGTGTGTGTGTATGAGAGAAATAAATAGTCATATTTTATACATAAATATAGATAGATATGAGAGAGAAAATTTTAATGTTAGTCAAATTTCTAGAATTTAGGAGTTATTAGTTTTCAAATTTTTTTTTATTGAACATAACTACTGGGGGTATTTTGGACAATAAAAATCAAAATTGACTTAATATTTAAACAAGTTTTCTTAGTAGACTTATCATCAAATAAGTCCACACAGGGACCGACCTCCAAATTTTTTTATCTTTTATAATTAAAGTTCAATAATCATAATATTTGGTAATACCATTTAAGACTTAAAACTAAAGACTTTAAGTACTTAATGAATTAAACTTATTTAATAACTTAAAACTCATACCACTTAATATTTCAATAACCTTCATCCACCACCACTACCATTGTGTTGCCGTTGTCACTACCATCATTGTGCAACCGCCACCACCACCACTGTTATGTCACCGCCACTAACACCATCACCCCCACCGCCCGCCATTATCATTGTGTCGTCGCTACTACTCCTATTATGCCACAATTGTCATTATGTCACCGTTGCCACCACTGCAATTGTGTCACCGCCACCATCATTGTGTCACCATTGTTACCATTACTACTGTTGTTCCACTGCCACTAACATCATCACCACCACTAACCGCCACCACCATTGTGTTGTCGTCAGTACTACCATTATGTCGTTGCCGACACTACTACAATTGTGTCACCGCCACCACCACTATCACCGCCACCATCATTGTGTCAACGTCACCATTACCACTATCATCGCTATTGTGCCACCGCTACTAACACTAGCACCAGCCCGCCGCCACCATTGTGTTGTCATCACTATTACCATTAAGCCACCATTGTCATTATATCATCGCCATCGTCACTGTAAATTGTGTCACCGCCACCACCACTGTCTCTATCATTGTGTCGCCGCTATCACCACTACAATTGTGCCACCATCTTATCTCGCTGCCACCACTGTCATTGTGTTGTTGTGACCATTACCACCATCTTGTGTCACCACCTCTCTCTCACCATTACCACCATAATTTTGTCGTCACTACCACTATCGTCACTATGCCACCGCCACTCTCACCATAACCATCACCATTGTGTTGCCGCCGTCACTATCGTCACTGTGTCACCGCCACTCTCACCATAACCATCACCATTGTGTCGCCGCCACCACCACCATCACCATCACCTCTACAACCACCATTGTGTCATCGCCACTACTACTATTATGCCACCGTCGCCATTGTGTTACCGCTGCAACCACCACTACCATTGTGGCACGATCGCCACCACCACCACTGTCACCACCACCATTGTGTCGCTGTCATTGTGATGATAGTGATCGGAATAAGATAATTGTAGAGATATGGTTAAAAAGAAAGACAAAATTAGAATAATAATAATTTTTAAATTTCAGTTCTTTATATTTATCAAATAATTTGATTTAATTTAATACTTATATTTCAATTGTTACCAAACAGTCTACAAATTAAAAAATTCAGCATTCAATACTTAAAATTCAACATTTAATTTTTAATATTCAACTTTCAATTTTATCAAAAATCACCTAAGATTAAAACTTAAAGTATAACGGCATTGTAAATTAATTACCATTAGGGTTACTAATTGGAATTTCTATTGGAATACTTTTATAGAGCCTCCACAACCTAGGACTATTATTCTTTTATAAGCTTAGCTATAATATAAAAGCAGCCAAAACATATCAACCCCTTTGTTTGACAATTATGATTTATCTTTGAACCTTTATTTGAAGCGAGATCGACTTTTAATTGAGGTTTTTTTTTCTTCAAACTTAGTTGTTGATTAATATGGTATGCCTATTATGGTTGAGTTTATTCGGAAGCCACTGTCCATTGTTTTTTTTTTCAATTGAATAGACTAGAGTGATAGAGTGACTATCGAATCATAAGTCCACTGGATAAAGAGTCGAATTTTTTCACCCAATGTTTAGTTCAAAATTCTCATAGCTACAACAATTTGGTGAAGCTATATCTACTTTTCAGTACCTATAGCACGCGGTGAGACTTTAGTTTCAGCCTTGACATAAGTGCAATGAAGTGACTTGTGAATACTTGTGTATTATTGAAGGATAATACTCTCTAACAAATATGTGAAGTGATTTATTTAAATATTAATTTTTTATACCAAAAAAAAAGACCAGAATAATGATATTAGAATTTAAATTTGTTGACTTAATTATGTAGCGGTGATATGATCTTAATAGAATTATTGTCACGATAATTCTTAACATATAGTAATTAGATTAATAAATTAACTCAATTTCGTAAGTTCCAATAAGTAATTGATGGTCACGTGCTTGTGGACCCCCTTACACGTGCGGAGTTCAGAAACACATAACTGATGACTCATCAGGCTATTAAAAAGTTAATCAAAAAACAAGTGGCAACGTCAAATCAACCACTTGTCCGCCTAATGGACCCACTTTCGGTAGATATTTGGAAGGGGACGACGATCGATGAATAGGCAACAAGACCCAACACGCTGCACCTACTATGACTTTACACATTTGCACATCTCGAAACACCGTAGGACCCACTTCCCCAAGCGATTGCCACGTGTAAACTTTCGGCCACTTGCAGCCATTCTTCACCGACTTCTTACATTTAGCCATTCAAGAACGACCAAATCTGGTCCCACAAGTTCAACCACTCATTCTCCTCCACGTGGCATATTTCTATTGGCGAACGCGTATGCAATGACAGCGTATCTCTCTCTCCACCTTTTATACTTTAGTTTTTTCTTCTTTTGTTTTGAAGCCTCCGATCGAGTAAATATTAAGCGTAACGATTATACGATGTCACTAATATTAATATTAGTATTATATAATTATTTAATAAAAAATAATAAAATAAATAAAAATAATTCATAATAAAATAAGATTTATTTTTTATTATGGAAGTATAATTATATATTATATGATTAGATAGTTATAAATTTTTGTAAAATTTATTTATAGACTTGTTTATGTATTATTAGACAGTTATATTATGTGACACTGTTAATATAATACAATAATTATGCATAATATTTTTTTCCTTCCACCGTCCCTCACGTACAGAAAAATATTAGATATAAATGTCACCTACCAATAAAAAAAAATTATGTGAATTTAATGGACTCTATTATTTTATTAACTATCAAGAACTATTTTTATTATGTTAGAATAATAGAATTTATTAACTTTATTTATTATTTTATAATTAATTATTGACGTGATGTTGTCGTTATATTTCATATTTATTTTTTATTTTTTGTCAAAATATTCCATATTTACAAATAATCAATTATTAGCTGTAACTAGAAGATACGTGGCTATCTATGCGACAACACAATCCTCCTTGCCGACGATCAGAATTGATCAGATTTCCTTCAAATATTGGATAGATTACAAATTCATATCTTAATTCATCAAAAATTAAAATTCAAGAAATTAAATGAAAAAATTGGATATGAATTTATATTGACTCTTTATTTATTATACTGGATATTCTTATACCAAACTCCAAATTTTAATGAATTGAACTCAAATTTTACTAATTGATCAAAAATATTAATTCATATTTAAATAATCAAATTTAAATTCCGACCAAAATCAAATGCCGACATGTTCGAGGAAAAAAATAACGTAAAGAATACGTAACTAGTAGATAAAGCACACGTCGGTTACAAAAAACAAAAAATTTACATTAATGGGCTTGGGCCATTGGGCTACCCTCTTTAATTAATTGCGTCCAGCACGCGTCCTAATGTCCTATAAGATGCCCACTACTCTTACCTCTCTCTCAAACCCATCACAGCAAGCTTCGAATTTCATCCATCCATCCATCCCTATCTGCCATCGTTCACATACTTGCTCGTTAAGTTTAGTTGTTTGTTTTCATATTCTAGCTAATCCTAAACGGAATGGCCGAAGAAGTTCGTCACAATATCTACCCGGCGACCAAGACCGATGAGAGCGGGAGCACCATCATCAAGACTGAGACTGAGGAGAGTTCAGTTGAGACCCAAGATCGTGGGTTGTTTGATTTCTTGGGGAAGAAAAAAGAAGAGAATGAGCCCAAAGAGAAGGTGATCGGATCGAACACTGAGATCGGCTCGGAGTTCGAGAAGGTGTATGTGTCTGAACCTGTGAGGAAGAACGAAGAATACGAAGAGGTAAAAGAAGAGCCCAAGGAAGAAGAAAAGAAGCATGGCCTTCTCGAGAAGCTCCACCGATCCGGCAGCAGCTGTAGCTCTGTAAGTTTTCCATCATTATTAGACTTTTGATGGGTTTTGCATATGATCACTTTCGTTACGTGGAGTTATTGTTTGCGAATGAAATTGAAAAGGTTTTTACTTTTGTATGACATGCAAATTTAATCAATTGGTCCATATATATATATATATATATATATAGTGTCGATTAATCTTCTGATTAAGCTGATGAGAATTTTCTTGGTTGTTTTAAAATTTTACAGTCAAGCGATGAGGAAGAAGTGGAAGAGGGAGGAGAGAAGAAGAAGAAAAAGAAATTGAAGGACAACATCAAGGAAAAGATATCAGGAGATCACAAGGAAGAAGACAAGGTTGAGAAGTACGAAGAGACGGCCGTGCCAATCGAGAAATACGAAGAACCAGTACCAGTCAATGTTGCAGAGCCAACTTGTGAACCAGAGGAAAAGAAAGGGTTCCTAGAAAAGATCAAGGATAAACTACCAGGTGGACACAAGAAGACAGAAGAGGTGCCTCCATCACCACCACCACCACCACCGGCGGAGGAGTACGGCTCCCCTGACGGTGAGGCCAAGGAGAAAAAGGGTTTTATGGAGAAGATAAAGGAAAAGATTCCTGGGTACCACCCAAAGACCGAAGATGAAAAAGAGAAGGGAAAAGAAGAAGGAAAGTAATGCGCACCACACTGTTAAGTATTGTGTTTGTGAGTGTCATCATTGTTGTGATGTTTGGATTGTTATTAAATTCTCGTTTGTTGCCTTTGTGTTGCAGTTTGCTTGATATATAACAGGCTTTCATACGCTTGGTAATATATATATATATATATATATATATATATATCGGAAGTTTTCATGTCGATATAATTTTGTTAATGGATTGATTGCTTCCTTCGTTTGTAATTTTGATTCACAATTAGTTTTTGAGTTTTAGATGTGATCTTCCCCCACGCCGAGATACTTTTCCTAATTGAAATTGAGGACGGGCCTAATTAAAGTTCTGTCAGTGTTTATATCACATTTGAGTAGTGTCCTTGTTTGCGATATTGGAAAAAAAAAAGTTTTGAGGGTTAAATTTAAGAATTTACTCATGAAAAAAGATTAATATTAAAATTTATAATTAATTCAATAATTATATTAAATTAAATATTTATAGCATTATTCAACGAAAAAAATCAGAAAAATTGTACGGTGTCAAATCCATGCCTTAGCTGCAACTATTAATCCACGTAGATCAATATTCAGCTGCAATTAGATACATACTCATTTAATTGATGGGACCCTTGCCTCAGGTGGCCCCTTGCGAAGAAATTGAGGCATAAACTTTGGAATGAGCATTAACGTCCTCCGTCCGGCATGAATGAAGAATTTTTATTGAACATGATTTCCTGATACAACTCGTTGATTTAATTGAGATTTTAAGATCTTAGTAATATTTATGGGTTTTGCCCTTCGAACTTCCTGAAAAGCTAATGACACTAAGCAGGGTTTGTACCTTAATTTCATATTCAATGACCCTTCCAATGCTGCCTGCTAAAAAAAAAATAAAAAAGGAACATGAATTGTTGTTAGCTTTTAAGTGGATTACACTTAAATAGAAAACAATTGTAAAATAATATTTTTTTGTAAGTTCCAATGTTATATGTGACTTAATTTTCATCCGATAGTTACAGTAATAGATTAATCATTTATTTTAGGTCACCGAATTCTTAACTTTTAAATAAATTGTGAGTTCAAATGTTATATATAACTTAATTTTAATTTAGTCATTATAATGGGAAAAATGTCCAAGTCTTGTATTCCAAATGCATGTGCATCACACCATACGTAAATTGATTTTTTGGAACCCATAAAGTGAAATGTGTGGGTGGATGGGTGGGTGGGGCATATGCTTTTGAGATATAAGATTTGAATTAAGACTTGGGCAGCATAGAAGTGCCGGTTATAATAGATTAGGCATTTAATTTGGCTCTCTAAATTATATTATAATAATAATAATAATAGCATTTTCTTACTTTTGATGATGCCTTATTTTTATTTCAACTAGGGTTAGAAACAAGGAAACAGGGTTCATCACTCTCCACTTTTTCTCAACTGTTTAGTGTGTCTGATTTCTAGCGAGTGCTAGCAGCCATGTGACGTTTTTTTTACAGTGATTTCTCTTTTGTTTTAACATTGCAACGGCATGTGTCATCATGAACTTTTTTTTTTTTTTTTTAATCAAGATTAGGAGCTGGATAAGCTAGAAGTCTGCGTGGATTTTTGGCTTTGTCCATCTGAGAGCTGCCTCTCGTCGTTTTGGTCTTTGCTGACAAAAAATTGCTACCTTTTTTTATTGAGGGGGTGACCCCCCTATCCTGAGCTCCATTATTATTTGTTTTTGAATGGTTCATACTTATACATACACTTCAAATTATATTTATATTTATATCAGCTTTAAATAGGTCCAGTGGTCACAGTGGTCCATCTTATCAATTGGCAGATTTCATAAATTACTTCATCTCCACCTTTTGAACTTTATTTCAATATTTAGATCCTTATCTACAACAAGGAAATAAAAAACTATTAGTGATGTTCTTCATAGCGGTGATGACTAGGCAGTCTAGGCCAATCAGACAATGATATTGTCGTTAATTAGCTGCGTTGAGAACCAGACTATCCATATATGCTTGCTGGGGGTTAGCTTGCATGCCTGATTGTATCCATTGTTGAGGAGGACTGGGCCGTCTAGCTACAAGTCTCTCATTTTGTGGTTGTTCTTCCCAAGAGGTCAAAGTATGGAAACCACCCACCTAATACATTGATGTGGAGAATTCTTAGAATTGCAACATGTATAGAGGTGATTAGGGACACTGGTATGGTGTAGGGTCTAAGGTTCTCGAAAGCTCGATTCAGTTACATGTGAATTTCAGGATTTATGAAAGGCTTAATATATACTTTGGGTAGGCTAATATCACCTATCTCAATCACGTGGAGCTACCCTCTCATATAGGGATTGCTAGCCAAATAAGTAGAAGATATTGAAATCAAAAAGATTGGTGGTAGATTCTGTGAGAAGAACCCACCCATGTTCATTTTTGATTACCCTCTTTAGGTAGTTTAAAATTAAACTTATTGTTGTAAATCACCTTAGCTAATTAGGGTTTTTCCGTTGGAATCATTTGCAAGTCTTCTTAGGTGGTGTTTTATATATAATACCTGGCCATGCCAAAGATCAGCTCAAAATCTCATCATTACATGCTTTCATCGGTTTCTAGTCTTTTTCTCAAGCAATGGTTGTAAGAGAAACTTGTTTCATAGCCATGACCCTGCAACTCAACAATATTATTTGATGGTGTGGTCTACACAATTAAGTGGCTAAGCTCTGGGATCAATAAAGGGGAAATGGATTTGAGATTCATTAGGAACGATAATGGGAATTCATTGGGACATTCAATCAAAGCTGCTAGGCTCGTGGTAATGATTAGTCGATTAAAGAGACAATAACAATTAGTGGAAACCGATAGATAAGATATTTATAGTGATTCACTAACCCGAAAACTTGATTATTCCACTTTAATAAAGTCTGTTGCTCCTAGGAGGTTTGCTATTATTTGGGAAAGAAAATTACAACACTGCCGAGTGTCGATTATTTACAAAACGAGGGATTGACCCCTATTTATATCACGTAGAAGCTTCGCGCGATCAACATGATTCCTGCATGACTGCCGTGATCCTTGTGCAATGGTGGTGATCTTTGCGTAATCAACGTGATTTATTTGGAGTTGTTACAACCCATAATACAGAATATTTGGCCGTTAGAAGTTATAAACTTTGGACGTGATGTGACTTTCTAGAAAATGTGAACTATCACTGTCACAATGTGCACGAGGGTCATGTTAGTGATGATTCCTAATCTGCGTCTCGTAAGCTGGAGTCTCTGAGTTAAAAGGTCTGAACTCAAAGACTTGAGCTATGGTAACGACCTGGGAAGCTAGGGAGCGAAAGGTGAGCCTTGAGTGGAATCCAGATTCTAACATCATCATGCTGGCTCCTATTGGGGGGCGATCTCCCAAGTTGCTATTGCGTCGAGTTTAGACTTGACTAATTTTTAATATCATCAATTAATATTGAAAGCGACAATGCTCAAGTGATCAAGATGAGTTCAGCAGAAGATACACTTCCTTGCGAAATATCAGTTATTATGGAAGACATCAGGATATGCAGCAGGAGGATACACATTACTTTTTCTCAAAACACTTAGGAGTGCAACAAAGCGGCTCACTGGCTGGACGTCACATCTTCAGTCCAGAAACTTCCCCACTACCGGGTTGTGGTGTATTGGTTGCACATATATCACAAACTTACTACAAAGATTTATCCTTCAAATGTAAGAAAATTGCTTAATGGTTAGCCTGTTAGAACATGTCTCATTTTATAATAATCCATATATATTGGTAATTTAGTTACACCTAATTGGTTATACAAGTAAAAGAGATGTGACAAACTTACCCCAATAAGCTACATATATGCATATGTAAGCAGACAATAGCATGCTTTGTGAAAACTCCCAACATTCGGAGGAACCCAAGAATGCTCTTGTCCAACTCAAACTCCTCACAGACCGACAAAACAAGCTGACTAGCCAGTTCACTAAGAACAACAGAATTTTTATTTTTTGGGCAGAACTAGGAACAACAGTTAATATTACAAGAAATTCTGAGCCGATCGCAATTTGTATATATAACTTCAATCGAACTCCTTACCCAAGCAAATGAAATTAACCGTGAGCACCAAAATGTATGGACACCCAACCCTTCATTACTTTTTTTACACACTAGTTGTTATTTCTGCACTGATCTTTGGTGCCAATGGAGACTACTTAATCGGAGTGGGGAGCTACGACATGACAGGTCCAGCTGGGGGAGTGAACATGATGGGTTATGGCAATTTTGATCAGAACACGGCCGGTATACATTTCCGGCTCAGAGCAAGGACTTTCATCGTAGCCCAGAGCTCTGATGGTCCAAGGTTCGCCTTCGTCAACCTTGATGCAGGAATGGCCTCACAGCTTCTCACCATTGAAGTGCTGCAGAGACTTCAGAAAAGGTAAACATGAGCCAACTCCATCCGAGCCAATTTTGAATAATGATGACACTTGAAATGAAACCATCTATTTCATGATGTGTTCATGAAGGTATGGAGATTTGTATAATGAAGAGAACGTAGCAATCAGTGGCACCCATACTCACGCTGGTCCAGGGGGCTATTTACAGTATGTGATTTACTCCGTAACGTCTCTCGGCTTTGTACCACAATCATTCGACGCCATTATCACTGCCATCGAGCTCAGCATTGCCCAGGCTCATGATAATCTCAAGCCTGGCTCCATTTTTATCAACACAGGTGTGCATCACATTTAATTATATGGATGATGATCACTTAGCTCACTAGTTTTCTTTTCCAACACAGCATGCAAAACATTATGATACAAGTGTTTTTAATCGTACATGTTGGCTTTTTGAAATTCAATTCACACAAACAATCTAGCTAAATCCGATACACAACTAATCATACTTGACACTTCTATAAAATCAGTAATCAAATATTCACAATATATTGACGACCGTTTTGATGGTAAATGGAAGAAATGATCATTCTGCTCTTTATTTTAGCTTATTTCTCAATACACACTCGGTTGCACAATGACATGCCATAATTCACATTTTTGTCTGCAAAACACGTAGTAAAACACCGTGATTTTTTGTTTGTGTGTAGGGGATTTGGAGAATGCGGGAATAAATAGGAGTCCGAGTGCATATTTGTTCAACCCTCCAGAGGAGAGAGCCCGTTATCCACGCGACATTGATACCCTAATGACACTTTTGAAGTTTGTAGATGCAGAGAATGGGAAGAGCATTGGAGCATTCACCTGGTTTGCAACACATGGAACATCTATGAGCAGAGACAACAAGTTCATTAGTGGAGACAACAAGGGTGCTGCTGCTAGATTTTTCGAGGACTGGTTCACTTCCACCTCTAAAAATGCCTCCACACCAATCAACAACTACTCTAAAAAACTAAGTAATTTTTTTCAACTTTATTACATGCTTGATTTATCCCTTTGCCAGGGTGTTAGTAGGGATCCAAGTGAACCGGATTGTTCATAAACTGCTCATGTTCGCTTGAATTAAAGTTTGTTCATTTATAAAATGAACGAATCCTAACTAATAAAACACAGTATATCAAACTAGTTAAGCTTAGGGATGGATTGTTCAGTTCATCAAGGCTCATCAACAAATATATAAACGAGTATGGGATTCGATTTTAGTTCGTCTAGGATCGTCAATAAATAATATCATATAACTAATAAATTGAATATATAACTGAGCTGAGTTTAATTATGAACATAAGTATAGACCCAAATTTAAGCGCAAACATAAGTTTAAGCTCAGTTTGACCACCAAACAAATTGAGCTGAACCAAACTGAGTTGAGCTCGATTCGAAATGAAAATCAACAAGTCAAATTTTAACAAGATGTTTAAAACTTATCACGACCCAACCTCTAACACAAACTCTCTTCTCGAATGAATGGCACATGTTCGAATTGTCGCAAGCCGACTTAGTTCAATTCACCTGCACCATAATTATTGGCCAATCTGGATCCATCAAAACCATGATATATCAATGAACCTTGTGTTTTTTTTTTTATAAATTTGTGTGTGTGTGACAGATAATAGAGGTTTGTTAGAGAAGGCGGCAAAGATCAAAGCCACGGGAGGACAACCTTGCAGTAATACCACTAGCCAAGGATTCAAAGTGAGGAAGAACGACGGGTCACTATTTGTCGGAGCATTTTGTCAATCAAACGTCGGAGATGTCAGCCCCAACGTGCTTGGAGCATTCTGCACTGATAGTGGATTGCCCTGTGATTTTAATCACTCCTCATGCCACGGCAATGACACGCTTTGTGTGGGCCGCGGTCCAGGGTATGCCCCTTTCATTTGAATTTGGATCTAATGGAGAAAATTAAGATGTGATTTGTATATTATTTTTGTCACAGGTACCCGGATGAAATACTAAGCACAAAGATCATGGGAGAGAGGCAATTCCGAAAGGCAGTTGATCTGTTCACATCTGCAAAAGAAGAGTTAACTGGAAAAATAGATTATCGCCATGTATATTTGAATTTTACTAATCTCGAGGTTCAATTAGAGGGAAACGAGGTGGTCAAAACATGTCCTGCTGCCTTAGGCCCAGGTTTTGCAGCTGGAACTACGGATGGGCCTGGTGTGTTTGGATTTGAACAAGGGGACACGGAGGTTAGCATCGACCCTTCTATGAAACTCAAGAAGATTGAGACGACAACTCTAACTCAACCCAAACTATATAACTCTCAATCTAAAGTCAAATTAAACCTGAACTCCTCAACTCTATTACATAATTTGAATTGAAATATGGGGTTTAGTAATCTGCCCAAGTTACTCACGTATTGAGTTCTAACTTGAAAGTCCTAATCCACAGATCAATGAGTTTTGGAGAAAAGTAAGAGATTGGCTTCAAGAACCTAGCCAATACCAAGTAGAATGCCAAAAGCCAAAGGCTGTTTTGCTTTCAACGGGCGAAATGTTTTTCCCTTACGCTTGGGCGGTAATGCTTAATGCTTGATTATATATTCACTTTAGCCTTGAATTATCATCTCACCCCAAAGTTTTTAACACAAGGGATATAAATGCAGCCGGCAATTCTTCCAATTCAAATGCTCAGACTGGGAAAACTAGTCATATTGTCCATACCTGGAGGTTCGTTATTACTATCGCTAACCTCAAATTTCACCAATGATCTAAATTTTTTTGCCATGGCTAATTTCATGATTATTACTAAACACAAATTGCAGAGTTCACAACAATGGCTGGCCGAAGACTGAGGGAGGCAGTTAAAGAGACACTGATAACATATGGAAAGGGGGAATTTGATGAAGAAACCCACATTGTAATAGCAGGCCTAACCAACACTTACTCGCAGTACGTTGCAACTTTTGAAGAATACAAGCAGCAAAGATATGAGGTAAGCACATAATAATCACATATATGCTTTATAGTACCCATGGGTGTTTAATGTTTTATCTTTTGTTAGAATCTACTACAAACCAAAATTGACTTGCAATGCATAATTTGAACTTGCACAGGCAGCATCGACACTCTACGGTCCTCATACACTTTCAGCATATATCCAAGAATTCAAAAAAGTTGCAAAATCAATGGCAACAGGAGACCCGATTGTTCAGATAGGGCTATTTCCGCCGAATCTCTCCTCTGTCCTATGGAGCTTCTTAAGTAACCTTACTGGTGACTCGCCTCCACCAGGCAAACACTTCGGCGACATTAAGCAAGACATAACTCCACCAAAGAGAGGCTCATTTAGAAAGGGGGATAGGCCAAGTGCCACCTTTTGGACTGCAAACCCGAGATATGACCTGTTAACAGAAGGCACCTTTGCAAGCGTGGAGATGCTTCAGGGGAAAGCATGGGTACCAACCTATGATGATGATGATTTTTGCTTGTATTTTAAGTGGAAACAAGATAACAGTTACATTTACAGCTTAGCAACCATTGAATGGGAAGTGCCAGAAGAGGCTAGCCCTGGAACTTACCGGCTGAGGCACTTTGGGTCATCAAAGAAAACAGAGGAATCCCCCAACCAGTACTTCACCGGTGCATCCAGTGCATTTACAGTGTCTTGAAAGAAGATGCAAAGCAAAGAATATATGTTTTCTTTTCCAATTATGTCTGTTTGGCTACAACTGAAAACATTATTATAAATGTAAAACAGAACTCTCCGCAATTAGTTTCCTTCCATTTTACTTGCTCCTTTTTCTTGTTACACTTTTTTATAAACAGGCGTAGTTAGGGCTTTTTGTCCAATTTTGTCCTAATAAAATTCATAGCTTGAATTAAAAGCACGTAAATTTAAACTGTTTGACCAGTATAATGCTTAGATGCAGGTTGGGCAACACCGCTTGGATGAGTGTTACGGTTTTATGCACTCTAGGTCATTAAACAATCCCCAATAACTACTTCACACCTATAAATCCAATGCTTTTACATGCATCTTAATTCAACAATGTAGTAAATCTATATTCACTCCTTGTAGACACATGAACAATACACATTCAGCCAACATATTTAGGATGTCAAAGAATTTGATTCAAACTAGTCTTTTTCAAGTGAACAACAATTATTTTAGAGCTGTTATAGTGAGGCACATAACAACATAGAGTTCAATTGACATACAGGATACCACAAGAGGATCTTATTCTTTTTTCCCAGGAAAAAGTATAAGAGGAACTTATTTATTTGTCCATCCAAATCACACATCGGAGGCTTTTTCCTTCGAGAAGCAAATCGAAAGCTTGGTTAATATCATCAAAGTTCACCTCATGTGTCACAAATTTATCCAATTCTAGTTCCTGAAAAGTGAAAAAAAAAAACGAAAGAGTGAGTTGACTGGGTAATCACATCCTCTGAAAAATGCCGCTCTTTATTCCTTCCAGGACTGTTGATTGCTTAATGACATAGTTCATGTCAAGTTTGGAAGATTAACATAATATTAGAGACAATATTTTGGGAGAAACAGAGAGAGGTTAAAAACTTAACCTAGCTCTCATACATAACTTGTATTTATAGTTAACCTACAATAATAATAATAACACATACACCCTCTTACTATTAACAATTTAAACATACTACCCTATTATTCTTAACACTCCCCCTCAAGCTGGACTATATATATCATATAATCCAAGCTTGCAACAAATAGCTGTAAGACGTGCATGACTCAATGCTTTGGTAAACATATCTGCAAGCTGATTTTCAGATTTCACAAATAGAGTTGTAATCTCTCCAACTACTATCTTGTCCCGAATAAAATGACAGTCAACCTCAATATGTTTGGTTCTCTCATGAAACACAGGATTGGCAGCGATATGGATAGCTGTCTGGTTGTCACAGAACAACTGTAAAGGAAGTTGAACTGGAAACCCAATTTCCTGGAAAAAGTGTAGTAGCCAAGTCAACTCACTCGTCGTATGTGTCATTGCCCTATACTCAACCTCAACATTGGATCTTGCTACCACGGGTTGTTTCTTACTTTTCTATGAGACAATATTACCTCCTAGGAAAGTACAATAACCAGTGGTTGATCTCCGACCAGAAGAAGAGCCAGCCCAATCAGCATCTGAGAAACCTTCAACTCTAAATTGTCCATTAGCTCGATATAACAGTCCAAGTCCAGGAGCTCGTTTGAGATATCGCAGAATACGAGTAACTGCCTCCCAATATGGTACTCTAGGACATCCCATGAACTGACTTACTATACTGACTGCATAGGAAATATTCGGTCGAGTAATAGTGAGATAATTAAGCTTCCTAACCAATCTGCGATACCGACCCGGATTCTCAAACAATACACTATCATCCATCAATAATTTCTGATTCGGATCCATAGGGACATCAATCGGTCTACCACCTAGCAAACCTACTTCCGCAAGCATGTCAAGTACATATTTCCTCTGAGATAAACAAATACCCTGTTTAGATCGACCCACCTCAATACCCAAGAAATACTTGAGTTTTCTCAATTCCTTAGTATGAAATTGATCTTGTAAAAATAATTTTAACTTGGCAATCCCCTCATAATCATTTCCAGTAATCACAATATCATCTATATAGACCACCAACAGGACATACCCAGCATCTGCCTGCCTATGAAACACAGAATAATCTGTCTGACATCGAAGAAGACCAAACTCTAAAACTGATCTGAAAACTTACCAAACTATGTACTCGGTGACTGCTTTAAACCATACAAAGATTTTTTTAACTGACATACACTCTTACCATACTCCCCCTGAGCAGTAAACCCAGGTGGTTGTTCCATGTAGACCTCTTCAATCAAATCACCATGTAAGAAGGCATTCTTGACATCTAACTGAAACAAGGGTCAATCAAGATTAGCAGCCAAAGAAATCAAGATACGAACAGATAAAATTTTGGCAACAGGAGAAAAAATCTCCTCATAATCAACACCATAAGTTTGAGTAAAGCCCTTTGCAACAAGTCGGGCTTTGAGACGTTCCACAGAACCATCTGGATGAAATTTAATAGTATACACCCAACGACAGCCAACAGTTCGTTTACTAGGAGGTAAAGGAACGAGATCCGAAGTCCCATTATGATATAAAGCATCCATCTCTTCCTTCATAGCTTTCCTCTAACCCAGATCAGATAATGCATCATTTAAGGGCTAAACCGGGCTGGAAATAAGGGCTGGATCACTGAACCGGACTAGTTGGACTTGCTGGAGGGCTGAACCAGGCTAGAAATAGGGGCTGGACCACTAAACCGAGTTGGTTGAGCCCTCTGCTGAACCGAACCAGTTTTACCAGCTGAACCGTTGAACCGGGCCGGTTTAACCTCCTGAACCGCTGAACCGAACCGAACCAAACCGGTCTTAAGTTGGACCGAGTCTAGGTTGGACTGTGGGTTGAACTGGCTTAAAATAATTTAAGTTGATGGACTTGACCCGATCCAACCCAACCCGTTGGACATCTTCTCCTTCGATGAGATTAGGATTCCCTGAGAAAATCCTCTGGTCTTCGACGACACCACACACCACAACGAGAACTGCGGCACACCACCACAGTTGCACCACTACCACAAAGATTCTTCGACTATGCCTCTTCACCACGACAAACAACAGACCACAACCGAACTTCGACGAACATAGAGACACCACAACAGACCACAATTGAACTCCGGCACACACAGAGGCACCACACAGACCACAATCGAACTTCGGCGAACACAGAGGCACCACACAGACCACCGACAACACAGTGCCACTACGAACAACCGAACTTCGCCAAACACAGTACCACCACAATAGACCACCACCAACAACTCCACCACAACATATTCAGAATATATATTTATGATCGTAAACCTTGTTCTGATACCATGTCAAGTTTGGAAGATTAACATAATATTAGAGACAATATTTTGGGAGAAACAGAGAGGTTAAAAACTTAACCTAGCTCTCATACATAACTTGTATTTATAGTTAACCTACAATAATAATAATAACACATACACCCTCTTGCTATTAACAATTTACACATACTACCCTATTATTCTTAACAGTTCACAATGTTCTGACACCTTTGGTACAGATGGAAAAAGCATTTCCACGAATCATGTAGCATCTCTTCATAAGCTTGAAAATTAACTTCAAGGAAAAAGAATTTGCTAATTTCAGAATTACCTTATCCATGTAACGCTTAACGAGGATGGGGACATCGGATTTAGGTTTGAGACCTCCAAATAGGGATCCAATGAGTGATTTCCCATAATGAAGGACTTCAAAAGAGCTGAAGGTCAACTGTGCCCCTGGCTTGTCCACTCCCAACACAATCGTCTTGCCCCAACCCTGAAGTTACATTTGACATGATTAATGAGAAATTTCCCTTTCACATGATCAAGAGAATGCAAAATCCATCTATTAATCACCACAATCCCTATCCGTGAATTAAGGAGCTTAATGGGAAGCTGCCAACTAGCCTGGCCACTTTTAGGTTGTAGATCATTATAGAAGGATTTACCCCGTTCAGTGGCCCAGCCATTGGACCCAGAAGAAAATACAAAATATGGGTCGAGTGGGTCAGTTTCGAATCAATTGGCTTTCTCCCTCACTTTTCTACCTTAACCAATAGCTTCAAGCATGTCATAATTTCATATTCCTGCATATTGATGTGAGATCATTCTGACTGAACTGACAGGAGCCACCTCACCAAATCTGGCCTAATTTTATTTCCATTTAAGCTTATATTTGGGAATTTTCCTCAGCCAGAAGCTGGGCAACCACCCCCAAAGGGATTTCTGTGATGTCACCACTCATCTCTAATTTTACATGGTTGAACCTTAAGAAACTGACACCTAGATGAAGTACTAACGGAAGAGGTCACTAAGAGGTAGGCTAATGTCACATCTGCAACTATTTATGCGCTCATGTGCATGTGTGTGCAAGAGAAAGAGAAGGGGGGAGGAGGAGAACCTTTCTGCAGCAAGCATATGCTTCATGCACCAAGGATGCCAAACCAACACATTCGAAGCAATAGTCTGCACCCCCATCAGTCATCTCATTTATCACCTGCATAATGGAGAGAAAGAACAACATAAACTCTCGAAACTTAGTTAGTCATCGAGAAGCAAGGCTGTATACCCTTTTCCTTGCCAGAATAACACAGTATGCACAATGATAATGGTCCTCTCTCTCCCACCCCTTTCCCCCTATGGCTTCATGGGTTTTGAAGGAATGGATTGCCACATCCTCATTCTTAGAAATGAAGAAAACAATTTCTTTGTAATCCTCACATGAAATCAACTACAACGACAGGTGACAGCCCTTACAGATTATTTGATAGGTACAGAAACATAATTGGCGTGTTTGCGAAAATAATAAGACCACACACAATCTCAAGGCATGAGAAGCATATCCACTTCCTCATTAATTATTATTCCATTCTAATGAGTCAACTTCTGACAGAATACGCAAGTACAAAACTCAACACTGATCATGCGTTTAAAGATGAGTACCTGGCTAACAGATTTATTCCCACAGTTTCCAGTGTTCACAAAATCAGTGACTCCAAATTTTTTCCCTGTGTGAAGGAATTATTTAATCCGAATCCATGTATATAAGTATTGATGTAATTAAATTTTCTTTAAATCTCATTATCAAGGATGCAGGATCACAAAAAGCATAAGTTCCTGACAGAAGGAAGGATTCCCTATTATTTCATTAGCATTAGTCTTCTCATTGTAGATATAAACAACGCAAAGAAACAAGATTGCATTTACCTATATCAAATTTGTCTGGGTTTACATCCACACCAATAATTCTTGTAGCTCCACATAGCCTTGCTCCCTCTGCAACCTACAACAAGCTTATCAGCACCACTGTGAGTGACGACAAAGATTAACAGCTGCAAGATCATACCGCTAATCCAATCGCCCCCATCCCAAAAATTGCTACTGTTGATCCTGCTTCCATATTTGCACTTCTCCATGCAGCGCCTACACCTGAAAACTCAAACTGTGTTTAATAATGTATTTAATAATGTCAAACTCTATGGCAAAAACTAAACCAAGGGCAAATGATTTAGAAAACAGCATTGCACCATACTTCACAAAAATTAGCCTTAATAGTTAATTGAATGGGCTCAAGTCATTTTACTCAGTGGGGACGTAAAACAACAAATAAATATTTTATCAATAGCCAAAAGGAAAAGTTCAGTGTTCTGATATGAGACACATACCTTGAGATTAGATAATTATTTTAACTTAATAAGGCTATTCAATTTGTTCCAAAATTGATTATCATTCCTTATGCTTTCAGAAACAAACAAAAGCAGAAAACATTTCATGAATTACGTGAAATTATTTTTCCAATATTAATTGTTATTTCTTATGCTTTCAGGCACAAACAAAAGTATGAAATATTTTATGAATTAAATGAAAGTATTTCTACATCTGTGAGGAGTGTAATGGAGATAAATCAGGTAGAAATAACAACTCACTGGCAGTATATATGTACACTTCATTTGATGCTGCTAGTCCATATTTTTTGTGTATGTAAGACTCTTAGAAATCATGAAATATCCTCCAAGTAAATGAGGATTTAATATGTAGTTTGTGAAGACAAATGTTAGGTCAATGTTTGAGACAAGAATTCAACAAAAAGGGGAAATTTGAGAAATTGATATAGGTTTTTAACAATCCAAACTGACTTATGCATGCCAACCAGAATCCCTGTTGGTACAATGAGTTTTGCAATCCAAATAATACATTTGCTATGAGGTCGACTGAAAAACTGGAAATCATGGGCAAGTTATAGGGGCTATTGACCAAACAAAAAAAAAAAACAAATCACTTTTTACCAGTTGATACTCCACAACTGAGGAGGCATGCCCTATTTGGGGGGACAGCAGGATCAACCTTTGTTACATGAGCTATGTCTACCACTGTATACTCACTGAAGCTTGATACATATAGGAAATGGTATAAAGTCTCTCCTTTAAGGTCAGTAAATCGGCTCGTTTCATCTCTATGCATCCAAGGAGAGACTTGGAAAGGAAATTTTGAACAGATATTGCTCTTCTTTGATTTGCAATCTGTACATTCTCCACAATCTGGTAAGAATATTGGGATAACAGTGTCTCCTTCTGTTAACTCATGTACATCATCGCCAATGCTCTCCACAACCCTTCAATTGCATAAATGTTAGAAAGTGTGTCAACAAGAATAAGTGCATGATTTTCAAACTTGAACCCCCCCCCCCCCCCCCACCTTCTCTTCTGGACATGTGTTTATGGTGTGGGTGCTCAAATAGATAAAACTAGAAAAGTGAACACATCATAATGGTAGCACCAATAAGTATAATAGTATATGTGTGTAGCCATGTGCAATAAAACCAACTTCTACAATATCAGAGTATTTAGAGAACTCTCTTATTGGCAGAGACCATGATTTGTACATTGGCTAATTTTGCTAAACGAGCTTATGCTACAAATTTAAAGTCCTATTTCCAAAAAAAAAAACCATGAGAAATTGAGGCCTAATGTCAGGGAGCTCGGATGCAAAGTTCCATCAGTCGAATATTACAACAACGCTGGTATAAACAGTTGGCAACATGTGCATCACAAAACAAGCCTATTGTTTAAAGTGAGGGGGCATCCATGCTAAACATCTAACAGCAATTTTTAGGAGTTTCAATACTAAAAAAAGAAAAAATAGATTTCCTTTTCTTGCATTAACAGGCCTATAACTAAAAATCAATAATGTTTCGAATTATCTGAAAAAAAAGGGCAGCAGCAGAAGAAGAATGCCCTTCCAAAGTTCAAGATTTGTAATGTAAAAGCCAATGCACCACTAAGAATCAGAAATAAAACATATATCGTTAAAATATAATTATCCGCCAGAAATTCAAGGGAAAGAAGATCGCGTTGTACGTTGGACACGACTCGTCTCCAACCATCGAGGACGTCAACGGCGACGTGGACCGCTGACTCTACTCTATTCCGGCGACAATCAAAATTACGCTTAATTTCAGAAAAAATTAAATAATTCAAGGAGATCTAGAAGGATGTGATTGAACCTACCCGATAGCTTCATGACCCAATATTCTCGGAAAATATGCAGGAGGATCCTTGAAAAACAGAGGGAAAAAAAATCAAATTCAAAATTCAAAGAGAAAGAGAATTGTAATGGTGGTGAGGAAGAGAGATGAGAAGTAAGAAGATGATATACCTTCATTTTCCAGAAGGTGATGTCGCTGTGACAAAGAGAGGTGCATATGATACGAATGCGAACTTCGAAAGCTTTTGGAGGGGCCACTATCACTTCTTCTATCACCAGAGGCTCCCCTGCTTTCCGACACACCGCAGCTGCAGCAAAGCGACCATGTTGCGTTTAGATGGGAACAAAAATGAACACTAATTCACTATTACTTTGAGAGCTGACCTTTGCACTGAATGGGCTTCCTGGCAGTTTTGCATGACTGTTTCTCCTCCATTTTAGAAGCAATCTCTGGTTCTCCGCCACGGACTCTGTCTCTGTGTGTGAGAGAGCGAGAGCGAGAGAGAGAGATCGCCTGTCCTTCTGTGAGTGTTAGGTGGTGGCTTGGCTTGAGTCTGTTTTAGACCGTCACGCGCGTAATTCCTATCCACCTCAGTTTAGTCAACTACGCCTGGTCAGATAACGAAAAAGACACCATACCAGCCTTCGTCTGCCCCTGCCACCAGCCTCCCACAATACAATAGAATATACAGAGAACAAAATCATTGGTAAATCTTTCGTTTTTTTGTGGTGGTGAGTGGTGGGGTTTGGGGACTACAGCAGGCCCAGGCCATCCTGTAGAAGGTGTTGCGAGATAAAGTGCAACCTCTTCTGCGGGTTATCGAGTTCAATCCAATAATTCGAGTTCAACTTAAACATTAAATTGGGCTCCACCCAAATATATTTAAAAATAAATATATAAATTAATAGATTCAATAACATAACTTATAACTCAATATATTAATTAATACATTCAATAACATAATTTATAACTACGATTAACAGTTCATAATTTACTTTAACAAACTCAACATGAAATCAATTCGAATTAAGTAACTCAAAATTTAATCTGATTCTGTCAATCAATTTAGATAATACTCGGGTTGAATAAATCGGGTTGAGCCGAGTTAAAGTAAAAATTGAATATTGTATACTTAAAACTTAATTAGAGTTAACTCTTCAACCAACCCAACTCGCCTAAGTTGCACCTATTACGAGACAGCCCACATTTTTATGGGAAAAATTCACTTACCCTTCTGCGCAGGCATAATTTTGCTTTTATTTGAAATTGCACCGACAAACATGATGTTAATTTGTGACTTGTCAATGGTTTATTCTGGAGTAATTTTATTGAATTTGACTTAATTTGTTAATTTTAGGATGCGACAATGATATGGTCTAATAAAATTAGTGTGATTATAACTATTAAATTTTTTTATCGAAACTCTATCGTTTGTCACATCATTAAATGGAGGTATTCCTATCCTATAAATATTCATTCTCACCTCAATAAATAAATATTTATTCCCCTTAATTTAAATTTATATTAATTTGTTTACAATTTGTATGCAAAGTGCTGTAATTAAGCATTAATGGATGATCTCGGTTGATAGCAGGATTTACCCAATACCCTAAAAGGAGAAGAACCCAACATCTCAAAACGAGCAACTGAAGTTATAATAGAGATATATCGTAAATTAGATATCATGAGTTTGAATTTTGATAATTTTTTAAAATCAGGTCACGAGCGATTTATCATTTATGAATGTCATAGTTCAGACGTGGATGATCTATTTTTGACCATACTAATGAAAATATTAGTCTAAATGCGCATAAATTAACCCAAAGCACTTGACCATTGAGTAAAAATAAAAAATAAAAAGATTTGGAGGTCGATCCCTATGCCCAATAAGATTAAAAAAACACTAAAAAAAAACATATTCGTCAATTTTCTTTTAAATTATGTCCCAATTGAAAAGTCAAAATAATGAACATAATTAACATCTTTTATAATTGCAAAATATAACGAAAATTCTTCAAAACTACGGCATCATAATGTACATTTTTCTTATAAACACAAATCGTAAGACAAGTACACAATTAAATATATATATATACACTTTTGAGTCAAAAAATAAAAGGTACACATTAAAAAAATAAAAAATAACAAATACGTAATAAAAAAATATAAAAAATAATAAGTATGCAATAATTGTCAGACATATACACAAAAATATAGATTGTCAGACAGGTATACTAAAACATAGATCGTCAAACAAGTACACTAAAACATATATTATTAATATACTTCCTTTTCCATGAACATAGATCTTCAGACACATACACTCAAACACAGATCGTTATTGTATTTTTTTTTCATAAACACAGATCGTCAAATATGTATACTAAAACATAGATCGTTAGACATCATCATAATGTCCAAATTACTTGGTTCACGAGTTTAAATTTCAAAACTAATAGATAATGTTGCAAAAACATTAATAATAAATACGAAAAAAAATTATATTTTAGATTAAAATCATGCAATGAAAGTAAAATATATAATGAAAACCAGTAACTAACTAATCATTTAGCATTCATGTAAACACAGGGGACGTAACTAAGTTTTTTCAAAAATTGATTTTTTTATACTAAAAAATTTGTAGCACTAAAATTGGTGTGCCGGGATCTAGCCTAATTAATTGAAAAAAAAAGAGAGAAGTATGGTTGTTTGGATTTAAGCCCGTAAAAAAATTATTTATTATGATTTGTTTTGTCAATTTTATTAGACCATCATTTCCTTTAAAAGTGAAGTAAAATCACAAATTAAAAACTCATAAATTTTAGAAGTTTGACTAATATTAAAAAAAAATATCTCTTATATCTATCTATATTCATATATAGGTTAGAACTATACATCTCTCACATATATACATACAATAACATTAAAAATAAAAAACAGTAACATTTAAATACAAAAAAAAATTATTTAAACATAAAAAATAATAGTCATATGAACAATAATATACTCAACAAAAATAATAATATAATAAAAATAATAATAACATGAAACATTCAAGTCCCAAAAATAATAATATTTTTAAAAAACATGTAACATATAATCAACATGATAGTTAATAGACGAGAAAAATAGTGAAAAATTGATCAAAATTGGGACAAATACTCGGTGCAAAAGAAATAAATATTTGACAAAGATTTTTGAGTTTAATTTTCTCAAAACCTTTAACAAAGTTGAAAAATGCCTACCTAATCCACTAGTTTTTCATAGGGGGATTAATGATCAAATGATCCACTAGTTTTTCAAATGACCTTTTTGTGCTAAGTCATTGAATTAAAATACACACATGAAACAATAATTTAGCCTTTGTGAAACAGAGAAATAATGGATAAATGATTTTTTTTGAAACCTTCCTTAACCATAGAGGCGAGTGAAAAAGTCTTCTTATACTAAGTTGCGAACCAATTTCTCGATAAATTCAACATTGCTTGCAACCACGACGACGTCACAACTAGTTGCCTGGGAGAGAGAGAGAGAAAGAATCTTTGACTTTAAATTTTAAATTTATGATGAAAATTTTATTGACATATTTTAATTGACATTGAATTAAGGGATAAAAATTTATAAGATAGTAAATTAATTTACCTTTCTTTAAAAAAAGGGTATTTTGGAATTTAAAAAGAATAGTGGACTTAACTACTTACTAATAAGATTAGAAATAGACTTATTCTCAAATAAATTTTTATGATAAATTAAACTTATTATAAATCTCTTGCATCAATTTTCACAAAAAGAAAAAAAGGGCAAAAAAACCAGCCATCAAAATTATAAAAAGACCACACACGGTCCATAACCGGCAAAATTTGGCCCAGCACATGGCGCAATCTAGATCATTCTGGAATCGTATGGTTCCTTAATATCTCAAGTCCTGACATAACAGTTCAGTCACCGCATAAACAAATCGGATTGGTGAACGACCGACCCCATTTAGACGGTGAGTTTTTGTGCTTGAACTCGAATCCGAAGAAATAACTCCATTTCGTAGCTCCCAAGTTATCCAGACACCCCCATTCAGCTTCCGACGATCGGTTGTTCTTCCGTCGCAGCTTGTTTTCATCTTCACTCTCCGCTCTTTGATCTGACATATCCGAAAGGTTCGATTTTTCGGATTTCCCTTTTATGTGTGTTTGAGTATGAGTGTGCTGTAAAACGTTTGCTTCTTTTTTCTTTGTTCTTTTCTTTTTCGAAACCCTAAGCAAAACCTAAGCGTTACATTCTCTATAGGTATGTGACCTAAAAATTATGTCGGTCAAGTTGCTTTATTTCAACCTCAATTGACGCGAGCAAGAAATTATTGCTTTTGGATCGCCCCTTTCAATTTTCGTGATTGAATCTCCTGTGATTTTTAAAGTTCTTTCTGATTTATTTCCTTTCACTTTATTGTTGCCGAATGTTTTCGATTTAGGTATTCCTCGTCCCTTATTTTTCAATTTTGTTTTGCTTTGCTTTTGATTCTTTCAAGCATTATTCATTCGAGATTGAAAAATGAAAATCATTCCCCGGTGTTGAGAATATGAACTCCTAGTCTTTCATTATTGCTCAAACCTTACGTATAGGCCTCGTTTGAAGCTAATTTGAGCGTTGTCATGTCATTACAGTGCGTGGTGATTCATGTAACCTGTGCCTATGTTATACGCTTCTTGTAGAGCTGAAGGCTTATTTTCTTTACAGTGGTCTTAGATTCTCCTGTTACTGATCTGGCAATGTTTTGATGAGTAAGACAGAATTATTCTTTTTGGAAGAAGATCATAGTTAGAGTGCTGGGGTGGTAGTACTAGTCGTGTTCATTGCACCATGTCACCATCGACATTGATCCATTAGGTTTTCTAACAGTTGAATGGCGTGGCTTCATGAGTAATTCGTGTGGTTCCTATTAATCCTTCTTCATCGATATTGATCCATTAGGTTTTCTAAAAGTTGAATGCCATGGCTTCATGAGTAATCAGTGTGGTTTCTATTAATCTTTCTTTGATTTCTTTAAGTGGACATTTACTTTTGCTTAGGTTTTACTTCTATTGCTCTTGATTGATCACATCCATTGTATTTTTAGTTCTCAGTTGCCTTTGAAGTTACATGGCGGATCAGAATCCAATTGAAGGTTCGAGTACAAGTAATGTCTCTGGTGAAAGTTCTGAATCGATCGTGGAGCTCAATATCAAGACCCTTGACTCCCAGATGTATAGCTTTCATGTGGACAAGGATGTAATTCACTGATTTCTCTTATTTTTGCTTGTACTTGAAAACTAAACTAACAGTTTGCTACTAGTTCATGTATAAATTGAATGAAAGTAAATATTGTCACACGATATTGTTGTGCATATTATAAATGAAGGAAATATATGTATTAAAAGCTTGAATATTGTCAAATTTTCTTTCATTATATGACTGTGAAATTGCTAAATTATAGTATGTTGGGTTATTTTGCCATTTGCTTATGCCTCTTGAATCTTTGATGATTGCAGATGCCTGTTTCAGCATTCAAGGAGAAAATAGCTAGTCAAATTGGGGTCCCAGTCGGGCAGCAACGTCTAATTTTTAGGGGCAAGGTCTTAAAGGACAGTCACCTCCTTTCTGAATACCGTATCCTACAATTTGTGACATTTATGATGCATTTTTTCTTATGAACCTCAGGTTCGCTAGTAGATAAAATGTAATTTCACCTATATATTTGTACATATTTATTGAATGTTTTTCCTGACAAAGTTCCCAACATTTCATGTGGAAATATGACAAATAGTTGTGAATAATAGGGGGAGAGTTCTGTTCTGGTGTGTTTGTATTAGCTTGCAATTAGATTTCCATGGGTTTACTTGACTAAAATGGATTGCCAATTTTTCGTCATGTTGCCTTTATGAGTGACTGCATAGATGGCACCATACTTGAAAAATTTATCTTTCTTCCTCCCTCGGAAAACGCCCCACTCCAAAAAGTTCTAGAGTAGATACGTGTCTTGAGAGCGTAATGGTTTGATAATTACAATTTGGATAGTGCAGTTTTTGTATTTGATTGGGAGTGTTCAAGTTGTATTTAGCGTTGGAGACTTATGAGGAATTGGCTCTCATTACTGTTTGGCAATGAGAATGGCTTCTAGGAGTATTGGCTGTCACATGAACAGAAATGCATGAAGTCGATGTACCAAATAAATCTGTGGTTCAAATGGAAAAGGTAATGACATTAATTTCCATGCACAGCTACTAAGTCACCCTGGCCTCAAAGAAAAAGGTTAAACTGGTACTTCTCTTTCATAAATTGTGCTGTTGTGGGGTTCCCTCAGCCATGATCATTCTTTTCTTTTTTATGTTTCTTTTGTAAATAGACTTGTCTTTGAAGAAAGCTTAGCAACTTTGTTCGTCTGGTAAATCATTTCAAGATATCTTAATACATTCTGATCACTAATACATAGCTTATTGGCCATGAAAGTATTTATTATTAGCAAGAAAGTATTTTTGCCTTATACCATTGTTATAGACACGGAGGCATTTATAAGTGGGTATATACATTGTTTGTAGACCCTTAACTCTTGTTAGAGGTGGAAAACGGGCATACATTGCACTTAGTAGAGAGGCAGCCTTCTCAACCACAGCCCTCAGCTGGTACCAGCTCAGAGGAGACTACTGCAAATAATGGCACTAGAGGTATGAATTGCAAGTTGTGCAGATCGCATTCTGAGCTTTTTTTTAATGATGTTCCTCTGTGAAGTAAGGGTTTATGTTTTTCTTGGATGGCATGGATGCTTAACAGGACAAGAACCTAGTGGTGGAGGATTGCGGAACCGTGTAGGGCAAATTTCTCACAGTGTCGTATTGGGGACCTTTAATGTTGGAGATCAAGAAGGCACTGTGCCAGACTTAAGTCGGGTGTGTCTGTAGGGCACTTTTGTCCCTTCTATTATTTGTATGACTACTATTTTAGATAGTTTTATATGCATTACTTGGCCAGAAAAGCTTAATGATTGTCGTTTGGCTTTAGGTGATAGGGGCAGTTCTAAATTCTATTGGGATTGGTAACCAGACTGTTACTAATGGTACTGGCGGCACACAATCTAGTGCGCAGGTGAGTTGTGTTTTTTCTGTTTGCCTTTTTCTTTTGCTTTCCCCTTTCCTAATCTTTATAATGCATGAAATATGTATATATACAATATCTCATGTTGCTGCATATTTCTCACACAAAGTGCAGAGTTTAACTTTCACAAATTGCAGAGTTTAACTCTCCAATTTAGATGCAGATAATAACATAAACTTGTTATCCTATTTTCATGCATAAGATACACACTAGTTTCCATTGCTATTTGACATTTGGGGCCATAGTTACTCTGAGATATAGTCACAATGGTGTCCTCTTGGGTAGTCAATCTACCATTTTTTGGGGGGTTGGGGAAAGAGGAGGTGGGTCTGGGTTATTCTCATTTCTACAACCAAACATCACAATTTGTGCATGTGTTTTCGGTTGCCTTTCATATTTCCTATAGTAATTCTTTTCAGTTGTTGCTGATTATGTATTCTTGCTTTTGCCACTTATTTATTTTGTCAGGCGACCATATGCGGTTAACATGTTATTTCTTCATATGTCAGCACTTCAAGTTAGAATTTTTAGGGCATCCACCCCGGTTGTTACATGCGTTACATAATGGGAATGGAAGCTAGAGGCATGATTTTTTTCAATCCTTACCTTGCCTACTTTATAACAATACTCATGTGCTAACATCAAAATCATACAATTAGTGAGTTTTCAGCCTTTCCTATTTTTTTTTGATAAGAAACAAACTTTTATTTCATAGAAAGTGAATAAATTACAAAGATGGAGGATAAGAAATCCACCCATTAACAAAAGGAATACAATGAAAATAGAATAAATTTAGCTAGGTGTCGCTTTCCAACTATGCTGTAAAATCGACTTCTTAAATCGTTTTAGTATATTAGTTCATGATATGAAAAATTGATATGCAAGAATAGATCTCCTGTCAAGAGTGTCGTGTCTTGTTTGGCGCTTCACATTTACTTTTTACTGTGGTCTAAAATAATTAATATCATAGAGCATTTCTACCAAATTCTAAGTATGGTTTAATTTTTTTTTCCTTCTAAAATGGGTTGGTGGAATTTGGGTGCATTTAAAAACATTTGAATTTGTTGCAATGGATGAGCACCCATGGATGCAGAATGTGGTGGTTTACAATGTTGATGGACCTTTCAATCAAGCTACTTTTATTGGACATGCTGAAATCAGCTTTGTGAAAACTCGGTTTGAATATGCCATTCCTTCAAATTGGTTTTGAATTGATCAGATGGTTTGTCTGGTTATCAACCGTTGGATTAAAACTGTTGAACACATGTAAGAACTCAAGTTTTGGTAGCCACCGTCAGGACTCTACTTTTAGGATTTATAGACCAATATTCTTATTAGGATTTAGATTGAGGTCTACTGGCACTCTGGCTTTTCTTCAAATATTTTTGTCTAAAGAATTGCTCCATAATGCTTACTTAGTATTTGCTGGCTGTTGCTTGTGAACTTGTCCCATTCACATACTATTACCACAATGAAACGAATGCCTAAGGAAAAGTAAGGGTATACACTTAGCGGGAGAGAGTGCAATATGAGAATTGAATTCTTATAGCTATGTGCTCTGTGTGGTATTTGGGTGTTATGATAACTGAGGAATGTCATCGTAACTGTGGTGTGGTGGAGTATGTTGTTCTCTATTGTTTAGTGTGGTGTACTTATATGTGTCTCATGCTTGTTTTTTCCTACTCATCATTTTGCTCATTTAGTGAGTTGATTGATTGGTTGGCAGTTCAATCCTCCCATTCAAGCGCCTCAAGGGAATGAAACAGAAGGGCTAAGAGGTAATGTTGGCATTCAGAGCCAAGCAGGATATCAATCACAGCCTAGACAGGCTTTTCCTAGTCCTTTGCCCCAACCTTTCCAATTTCCGATTGGAGCAGCTATGGCTGTTCCTTCGCTCAATGTGGTATAGAGCATCTCTGTTCGATAATAAAATTATACAAAATTGCCTTGTTTTGCTTTTTCTAACGTCATTTTTCTGTATATCAGCCAATTCCTGATTCTTTGCACACACTTACTGAGTTTATGAACCGCATGGAGCTGGCATTGTCTCAGAATGGTGATGATTTTGAAGTTGTTGCCTCATTTGTTTATTGCTACAAATAACTTCCCTGAATAACCGCTACTTTTACTGCAGGGTTTCAGCCAGATCAATCATTAAACAACACAGGGGACCGACCAATGGGAGAATTGCCTTCCAATTCTCGTGGGGGTTCAACACCTGAGGCATTGAGCATTGTGTTGCGACATGCACATCGTCTTCTTGGGGGTCATGCTACCGCAGCATTATCAGTGCGTTCTATACACTGAATACTCTGGATTTGCTCTTCATTTTCTTCTGAATGTGTTCTCATTTTGTGTGAGCTTCTCTTGGTTTTTTCTTTCACAAACTTCAGCTGCCCCAACATGTTGGTGTAGATGTGTCGTGTATTTATGCATGTTATATCTTCTCCCCTGACATTATATTCCATTCTTTCACTGTGATTATATTTCGAGAAGTAATCTATGGTTAGGCATTATAGGGCTATGTCAGGAGCATAAGTAAATTTGGTATTCAGGCAATATAACTTGTCATTTTTGTTGTTATCTATCATAACAACTCACAAAATTCAGTAGACTGGAGAATTGGGCCCTTGGAAATAGTTTTCCACTTCTAATTATTTTCTATATTTAATCATTTACAACTGATTTTGTTCACCAAACAAGTCACCAAGGGTTGATTTTGATATAAGCTGTCATAGTGTCGTTAGAATAAGTGAGCACATCTCTTCAAGAATAAATGCAAGTTTGAGCAAGTTCTGTTGATTGAATTATGTTGTAGGACTGTGCTGTTTAATCTATTGCCATATCAGAAAATTACGTGTGAATTTACCCTGTCTTAATTAAAATAAACTTCACGGTTCCTGAACGTTTACCTTCTTGTCTGATTATGTGGTGTTTGTAATCTGCTGCAACTTTGTAGCATATTGCAGGACGTTTAGAGCAAGAGGCGGGTTCTGCTGATTCCACTGCGAGGGGCCAAATTCAGGCAGAATCAGTGCAAGTAGGTCTTGCAATGCAGCATTTAGGTTCTCTTCTTCTCGAGCTTGGTCGGACAATATTGACGCTGCGTATGGGACAATATCCTGTATGTCCTTGCCCTTTCACTTTGTGCTGATTTATTGATGTAGATGAATGTGTTTACAACTGTTTTGCTGCATATTGCAGGCTGAATCTTCTGTTAATGCTGGGCCTGCGGTTTATATATCTCCATCGGGGCCTAATCCTATAATGGTTCAGGTTTGTATCAGTGCAAAACATCTTGCCGTGGTGTTGAATTATAGTTTGTTGTTAGTTGAAGCTTTGGTCATTTTGTTGTTAGTTGAAGCTTTGGTCATAGAGTGGAGTGAACCCAGGGGAGTAGAATCCAGCTACATGGAGCCCCAAAATAGAGTTTATATCGGGTGCCTCTAACGAATTTTATGAGTAGTTCTTTCTTATTTGTCTTAAACTATTGTCTAAAACTTAGGAAATGGCAATGTATTCAGCAGGTTGCTTGTGCTGTAGTGAGCAGTTATTTCCATTTGTGAGCAATGCTACTTGCAAAGTGTATAAAGAAACTAGAGAAGGCTACTGGCTTAGACAGATTTTGCCTCGTACTCAAAAGGGAATGAGGTGGTTCACAACCTAATTTTGGCTGTAGAAATTAAGAGAGATGCCATGGTTTCTTGACTGCAACAAAAACGACAGTGAGAGCTGCATCTTTTAAAGCATTGTGGATCTTTGGGTGTGTATACATATATATGAGTGTGTTATATAGGTACATAATGTTGTTTGTTTATAGAGTCTTGAATGTGATCCAATACAGATGTTGTTTCCATTTCTGCCACAATTTGATTGGCTGTTGCATGCCCTAAATGTTTTGATAAAATGATATCAAAATTCAAAAGATCTATCCTGTGACCTTTTGCTTGTTTCTTTGCAGCCTTTTCCTCTTCAAACCAGTTCCTTTTTTGGTGGTTCTGCTGTTCCTCCATCAAATTCAGTTGCTTTTGGCCCTGTTGGCATTGGAAATGTTCCGAGGCACATAAATATTCATATACATACTGGTACTGGGATTTCAGAGTACAAGTAATTTTGCACAGTTTACACCCTTCTACATGACTCACCATTATCAAAATTAATTATCAGGGGCCTCACTTGCGCCTATTGTTTCAGCTGTTGGCACCAGGGCAACTAATGCAGAAGGAATGCAGCAGGGAGAACGTGTTAATGGAGCTGCTTCTGGTGATTCAGGTCAAACAAGAGTAGTTCCTGTGAGAAATGTTATTGCAAGGGCTGTCCCCTCGCGGCCTACTGTTGTTTCTGTTTCCAATGCAGCACACCCTGGTGTTAGTGTTTCACAATCACCTCCTGACTCTGTTTCACTATCCACAGTTATTGCAGAAGTCAATTCGCAAATTAGAAATTTTGTCAATAATATGAGGAGTGAAAACCAGGCCCAATCAGGTATCATTATCAAAACGTGTAGTATACTCTGAATAATCTTGTTTTTGTTTTATTGAACTTACTGTAGTTATTATGCAGGCCAAACAGAGAGCTCAACTGTTCAAGATCAATCTAGGGGATCCATTGTTCGTAATGAGGAGAGGAGCGATCAACTTGGAAACTCAGTTGTCAATGGAGTTGGAGAGACAAGTCTTCCTCTGCCTGGGGTGCCAGAGATGGAAGATCAGAAGGTATGTCATGGCCAAGGTCCATAATCCCTCCAAGCATCTATTTTGTGCATATAATTGACTAGAAATTGGTACCTCAACTTGCAATTACCAGACACAATCTGAATGCCATCAACCTAGTAACAATAATGATTCAAGGGATGTTGCAAGCTTGAAAGACGTACCCTCTAGTAGCTCAGTTGGAGGTGATGTTAGCTGTTCGGGTGGAGAAATGACACTTAAGCCACTAGTCAATATGGAAGGTGCTCCGGCATCCAGTCAAGGTATTGATAATGTTGATGGTTCGACAGCAGTTCCTCTTGGATTAGGGCTGGGAGGCTTGCAACCTAAGGTAGGGTTTTAAGTCATTCTTGAAAATATTTTCTTTGAACATAAACTGGGTTGGATACTATTCCAAATTTGTTCTTATGGGATTCTGTATTTCCCATAGGAGCATAAAGTTCTAATGCCGAACATTTACCATCATCCATCAGACATATATGCTTGTGCACATTCCACCTGGACTTCGCATCACTGTTTTTGTACCAATACAAAAATTTCGTTTCTTCCTAAGATTGTATTCTACATTGATTAATAAGACAGTATTAGTATGGGAATATAAAGTATTTTAATTCCACTGATATTCTATGATAATGACTTATATTCAACAATTGCTCAGATGACTTTTTTACTTCTTTTAAATTTCCCAATCCTTCACCAAAATCTTTAAAGATCCTCTTGCCCGCACTTGTAATATTCCCATCTCTCAATTTAACAAGTCTGCATATTCTTCCTCTTCTTCTTCTTGCTTGGCTGAAGGTAAAACTCTCTGGGATTGAGTTGTAGGAAGAATGATTTGACTTTGAAACTGAAGCAAACAAGCTCATAGCTGACTCAATTAATTATTATTCATTGGTACATTATTTAGATGAAGATGTACCAGTAGTAGCAATAATTTGGGAAAGGTTTGACGAAACATGCTAATATCTGTATGTCTGTTCAAAGGGATGAAAACAGTTCATCTGCCAAAACAGTATTAATAATTATGCTGGTGACATGAACCATATCGTATTATTTTTGGAACTTGAAAGTCATGAATCCTCAGATAATCAGCACATTAGCTGGTCAACAAACATGGTACAAATTAATTTTAAAGTTTTTTTTATATCTCCATATTAATTTGTCTTCTTAATTATTGCATCATTGACTTTTTTTGTTGAGCTTGATACTGATTTGGTTATCCAGCTAATGCTTCCTGATTTGCCCTTCTGACTGATTTCTCTTGTATTGATTGCCTTCTGTTTTAACATATGATAAATTGCTTGGAAACCTTTGTGCTGAAGTAGACTAGATTTGCAGTTCTATCTTCTATGTGCTGTATATTTCTGGTTCTTATTCCTAATGTGGTTTTTTATGGTTTCCTTCAATTTTGTTGCCCATAAGTGTTCACAAATCTGTGTAAAACTGTGGTCAGAAGAGAAGCAGGCAACAAAGATCTCAAGGCCTGAGTGGAGATGGTGCAACTTCTAATACTCCTACAACTCAAGACCAAGATGCTAGAACAGACGGCCAAAAGGTTTTGCAATCTCTTGCATCACTTGCAAGTAGGAGGAATGCAAATACACCGCCATCAGGGCAGCTTCCTCATTCTGCTGGGGGAGTCCTGGAAAATATGCCATCAGGGGGGCGAAGTGCCATTGGCCAATTTGATGCATCAGGTGTTATGTCTCAGGTTCTCCACAGTCCTGCTTTAAATGGTTTACTATCGGGGGTTTCACAGCAAACTGGGGTGGGTTCCCCTGATGTATTGAGAAATATGTTAGAACAATTGACTCAAAGCCCAGCAATGATGAACACAGTCAACCAAATTGCTCAACAGATTGACAGCCAAGATATTGGAAACGTGTTTTCAGGTTTGGGAGTAGGCCAAGGTGGTGGCATTGATCTGTCAAGGATGGTGCAACAAATGATGCCCATTGTTTCTCAAGCTCTCAGCGGTGGTTCAACTGTTCCTCAACCAATTCTTAGTGCGGTACCTGACCGCAGTGAGAGGATGTCAAGCAGAGATGAGAGATCATTTGATCAAAATTCTCAGGTTCGTACCAGCAAAGAGAAATAATTTATACAACATGAAACATGAACTGCATATGCATATACTTAGTAGCTTAGGACTTTTGATTGATATGAGATCACCAATTATATTGAACATGTGCACCATCTTTTATAAACTCAACTCAACTCAACGCAGAGTTGTCCCAAATATTAGGATTTGCTGCATGAGTCATGATCCTCTATTGTGCTTTATCAAGGACATTATTTCCTGGTATTCCATATTCTTCTGGTTTAGTTTTGTCCTGCCATTGTACACCTTAGAATCCATTAATGAGTATGTTTTCCTCCTGGTTTCCAACCTCTGAGCTTTTGGCTCATTGCATTTCTGTAAGAACATGAGATGTGAATATGATGACAATCATGTTTGTACATGATTTGTACAAATGGATGACTCCAAAATTCCATGTTTTTCTACGTCCTTATGCTATAGAAGGACAATGTTTGCATAAGACTCATTGTCAGTGTCAAACATATATGGTAACTGCATTATTTCAGGGATAAAAAATATTCACTTTGGATTTTATATATCACACCCAGCAGAATGCCCCCAGTTGGAAGCTGAAATTGATTTTGGAAGACTTCAGGTAGTTCTTTGTTTTGATGTGATGGGGATTCTAGTTTATTTTGGTCGACCATAGTCTGACGTATTAAAAATTCTGTAATCTCTCTGACATATTAAAAATTCTGCAATTTCTCTAATAATGAGAAAATAGTTCTAAGGAAAAAAGAGAATGTAGGGAACAGCGCCACCCCCCCACCCTTTTTATCTTTCATTCTATCAGAGAAAACACAGAAAGAGAAGAAAGTAAAGGAAGGGGACAGGGGGTTGTGACTCAATATTATTTGAAATTATATAAACTAGAATCTTTTATGTTCTCTTCCGCGAAATTATAGTAATTATATTTCCTGTTGTATTTCACTGTTACTGCTTTTTTTTTTTTTTTTTTCTCTGATGAGCCTTGTTTGCATTGCTTCCATTCTTTAGACTGACCTCCAACAAGCAGCTCAGAGAATTGAACACCATAATCCACCTGGTGACATTTTTCGCTCTGTGGTTGAAAGTGTTGTACAGTCTTACCACAATGGCAGTGGTGTGGAAGGTGTTGTGGATGAATTGTGCACTGAAGAGGGTCTTGCTGATGTAAGTGTCATCTTGTAATTTCGTTCGTCCTTGTAATCATGACTTATGAGAATGAACTCAGGTTTATGAGCTTATGTTTCTTGTCCACGCAGGAGTACATGGAAATGCTGCGTCGTGATATTTCTGGACGAGTAGAGACTGAAACAGGGTCTGTACGGAAGCCATAAATATTTTCTTGGTTGTAACCGGTTGTTTCTGATGTTATTTTCCGTAGATGGTCAAGTTGCTGGTATTCATTGCTTTCTTTCAGCTTACTGTTAATTAGGTTTTGCAAATATTACATATATTTCCTTGTACCATTTAGGTTTGGGGATTTTAGGTGATCTGCTTGTGGGCCAGCAGTTGTTATATTTGTTTTGGTGTATGACGTTTATCATACATTAATGCATGCCAAGATCTATTTTACACTTTTATTATGGTAAGGACTTACTGATCCGGTTCGAAGTAGTTCCAAACTGTAGAGGAACCGGATCCGTGCCAATGATGCTATGCTAAGCTGCTTAAGATTGTAGGATGACTTCACCTAAAGACATTCAAATTGTCTCCCGTGGTGAGTATTTTTCAGTCCGCTTTTGGACTGAAGTTACTCCGATTCGATCTTTTTATCCCCGAGCTGAACACAATCCCAGTGATGGTTCGTTTATGAGATTCTCAAAAACAACATAAACAGTGAGAAATACTTGCTGTTAATTCGTGTAACCCATGTGTATGTTGGTATGATTGGCGTATCCATAATCCCATTGATTTGGTATTATGGTATCAAAATTCGTAATTTTAATAAGTTTAGATACAAATTTCTGAGTGTGGTGGTAACAAAAATATAAGATTGGTCTTAAAAAATTATAATTGAATTTGTCCCAAATGAAAAAAAGGAAGGAAAAAAACAGTTTTTCAGAAGTTGAATTTGATTGTAAGAACAAAACTGAACTGAACCTACATTTGGTTAAACCCGATTTGATCCGGCGAGTGTTGCTTTCACAATCAATATATAAAACTCGTTAAAAACTGAATATACTCTTTGATTATCCCAGTAGACCATCTTAGTTGAATTTTAGCTTGATATTGCTACCTAATCGTTTCATTTTATCATCTTTTTATTAATTTAAATACAATTCAGATCTTATTTGAACTATTTCACATTAATATTTCTAAATCTCAATTCATGAAATAATAACATAACAAATTTTATAATTCATATTTAGTTAATCGACTTTATATTCGGAGCTGGTTTGAATTCAATTTGAACCGTTGAAAAATGTAGGTGGTTGACCCGACCCTTTACACATTGGGTCGGATGGAAGTTTCCAGTGCATTAGCCTTCCCTTCCGATTTCGCTAGACTCGCTCTAATTGCAACTGAGGAGAAGGCTCCTATTTATTCATACTCGCTTTCGCACGTGTCTGCGTAACAGCTATCCTCAATAGATGGAGTAGCATTCTCCATTCGGCGGGATCGTAGTCTCAAACTCCATAGACACTCTCTGCTTCTCTCTCTCTCTCTCTCTCTCTAATTTCAGGTAAGCTTCAAGATCTCTCATACTCTTGTACGTTCTATAAGTATATAGTTATATCTGCATGCATTAGAACTAGATCCTCTCACTTGCGGCATTACCACCTAGTTCTTTAATTGTTCTAGGGTTTTGTGATATTCACTAGTGAAACGTTAATCAAATTGGAGATCCGTATTTGTTTCGTTTCTTTTTTTCCTCTGTCTGTGCATGTGTAATGAATGCTACACCTTCGGTCGAATTTCAAAGACAGAAGGCAGACATTTCCACTTTCCATTTTTAAATCAAAATCTATTGAACTTGTTCTAAGTGAGCCTCTGTCTGTTTTGAGTTTATTTTTTCTTTTCTTTTAATGTTCATGAATGTTTAATGGTTTTCCTTTTTCAGGTATAAAATTTGTGTTGAGCTTCCGGGTTTCCATCTTCGTCTGCCCATTTCTTTCTCATGGCGGTATGCTAGACGGCTTAGACGCTGAATTACCCTTCTAATTATGAGATTGTTTTCGTTCACTTTTTTTATTATATTTTCACCCCTTATTTTTTTTGAGTTTGTGTGCTTTAGGTGGATAAACTTCTTAAAGATGAAGCAACAGAAGAAAAGGGCGAACGGGCTAGAATGGTAAGAGTATCATCTGGCTTCAAATTGGAAAATTATGCAATTCAAGTATCTGATTGCGACATATTGTTATGTTGTTCATGAACTATGGTAAAGCATTGCATGGATAGACTGAGTTGTCATTAGTTCTGTTTTGAAGTATTTTGGATTATATTTGCACCATGTATGAGTGAGATTCTTTTCCCGTAAGAGTTGCATTCTTGTGGAACTCATAGACTTAACTTGCTTACTTACTGATGACAATAATCACATTTTTCATTAGGCATCTTTTGTTGGAGCAATGGCAATTGCTGACTTGGTGAAGACAACTTTAGGGCCTAAGGGAATGGTAGCATTTATTTATTTTTTTAGAGTCTTGCTGGTGGTAGGCTTTTAGTTACCTGCTTCTAAATGTAAATTTTGTTGGCAGGATAAAATTTTGCAATCAACTGGCAGAGGAAACAGTGTTATGGTTACAAATGATGGGGCCACAATCTTGAAGTCCCTCCATATTGAAAACCCAGCTGCTAAAGTCCTTGTTGGTATCCTTAATGTTGTTTTTTTCAATGATGAAAATGGTTGCTTTATTTTGTTTGTTGGATTCCCAATGTTGCTTACTGATTTTGGAGATGTTTGTTGAAGTTTCTTGTTCTAATTAGATGTTTATGTGTCCTATTGAATTATTATTCAGTGGGTTAAGCTGAAACTTTGTTCCAGGAGGAGAGAGAATCTTGATTTCCTTGGGGGATTGTAATATAATCGCTTTTTTTTTTTCAATGTTTGGAAGTAATTTTTACTGGATAGTGCCAAGGAGATTCAACCTAAGAGCTCGGAAAGAAATTTCACCCAAAAATTAATTCCGCGATGAATTTTACGAAAGAATCATTAGAAAAGATTTCTAGTATGTTATCTGATGTTCCTCCTCAACTCAATGATCAGACATTTCGAAAGTTCAGGATGATGAGGTCGGTGATGGGACAACATCAGTAGTTGTTCTGGCTGGGGAGCTTTTAAGGGAGGCAGAAAAGTTGGTGGCTACAAAGATTCACCCAATGACAATAATTTCAGGTTTGTCTTGAGCTTCCTTTGGCATCTTGTTTCCTGAGATTTTCATTTCTCATGAAGGAAAAGTTTTGTCTAATGTAGCCAATCTTAAAAATTTGAGCCCAATTCCCTATTCTGTTCTCCACATATCTACCTGTATGACGGACTACTCATGAGTTGTGTGACCTGGTGTGTGATACTTTCACATTGATAGATACCTTGTAATGGTTCATCCCCACAAAGAAATCTCTTGTTAGGGTGTTGACATCTTATTAGATCCACCTGGCATTAAATACCGGTGGCAGTATCTATCTGAGGCTCTTGTTGTTTCCGGGGAGAGCCATGGGTGTACTTTATCGTAGTCCCTTGGCATTTTAAAGAAAAGGTCCATTAGGTTTGTGTTATTCAGTATTTGAATTCTGTCAACTGATTGCTTTTGCAAGCCTTGTCAACCAAAGAATTCACATTTTTTTGTACTTGCGTGTCAATTGGTATTTGGCTAGCTGAATAGTTAATTCACTTTTGTGTTTAACAAGGTAATTTGATTGTTTCTAAATTTGATCTACCAATCTAATTGGCTAGATTCAGCCTAGTTACTTTTTCATATCAAATGCCTGTCATACCTATTTTGTAAGACTTAGAGGGCCCATAATTATTGTGCTTGTTCTGCTCTGTTTTTGTGCCCTATCATACTTAGTTCGTGAGAGCTGGCTACTTTATTCTTTTGCTTTATTTGTTGAAATGTGACATTTTTGTAGAGCAACTGAGACTATAATTTCAAAGACTGTCAATGTTTTCAATATTTCAGGTTACCGGTTGGCAGCTGAGTATGCTCGCAATGCTTTGCTACAGAAAGTTATGGATAATAAAGAGGATGAAGGTATTGATTTTAAAACCCTCTCTTTTTAATTACTGTACCAGTGTTTTGATATTCTGTGACTGTTTAAGTTTTTATGAGATTCATCTATTGATAACCTTGGTTTGAATTTATTTTGAGTTATCCACTCTTTTGGCATTCACAATACTGTTATTATGCACTGGTTCAAGGATAAGAAGACAATAACATATTTTGCTTTATTAAAGTACTTAGTTAGGTCTAGGCATTCTTACTTCAATGCTCATGCATCCTATTTTTATTATACTCGTATTATCACATGTCCAATGTTTGACATTTCTGGCTAATGCAGAGAAATTCAAGTCAGACTTGATGAAGATCGCAATGACCAGTTTGAGTTCAAAAATACTCTCTCAGGATAAGGAGCATTTTGCGAAACTGGCTGTTCATGCTGTAATGAGGCTAAAAGTGAGTATTTTATTTGTATTTAGTAGCTTAAGGAGGATTTAAGGTGCATAAAGTCCGAAGAAATCCAACACAGTAAACAACTTTTTCCTCTGAGAAAGTTGTTTGTGTTAAGTACACATATTTGTCTCTTCCAGGCAAATATCTAGTATATAAACCTATTTTTCTATCCTTATGTTTGTTGCTGTACTTTTTATGTGCCTTTTTTGTTTTAGTTAGAGTTTTATTCATATTCCATGCTTTTGTCTCATTCTTTTGAACAGCTCCTCTAGGTTTGTTGCTTTTGAATGTGTCATGTACTTGACAATTCTTTCAGTTTCTGTCTGATGATTCTTTTTGAAATGGCAGGGTAGCACAAACTTAGAGGCCATCCAGATTATTAAGAAGCCTGGAGGATCACTAAAAGATTCATTCCTAGATGAGGGGTGAGTTCGATATAACTTATGTATATGATCTTAACCTTGGTGTCTGGGCTGCGGTATGTGACTTTATGATGAATGTATGTTTGGTTGCTTGGAGATCATAGGAGCATAATAGTGATCAAAATTAGGAAAGAACTGAATCTTTCAGGATCTTAGGGTTACAAAGTTATTGACTTTGGCAAGCATAACCAGCCTTTGAGTAGGGAGGTTTAAATAGTTATTTGGCTTGGTTGAGTTGATTATCTTTTGTTGCTGGTTCTAATTTAGGCTGGCTTTGATATTTTTTTTAAGAAAAGAATGAAGGAACTAAGAGTGCACTTGAATGTCGCAAACTTAATTGGATGACATATTGAATAATCAATCAATCATGATGGATTTAACTTAAAATTCCCATAAAAAAATATTTGACTTAAAATGCCATATGACATACGATTAGCATATTCAGTGATTAATTTAGCTATTAATTTTGTTTATATGGGTGCCAAAAGTTAGCATCCTTTCTTCCCAGTCTTTGGAACAGTGGAACACGTGTTTTCTTTCCACGCCGTTGTCTTTCCAAGAGTTAAATCAACCTTTAGTTATCATAAAATCTGGTTGGCAGTAAACTAAATGACTAAATTGGTGTTGAACTCTTTGTGCAGATTTATTTTAGACAAAAAGATCGGAATTGGCCAACCAAAGCGCATCGAGAATGCAAAGATCTTGGTGGCAAATACTGCAATGGATACAGATAAAGTTAAAATCTATGGAGCACGTGTTCGTGTTGATTCTATGTCTAAGGTTGTGGACATTGAAGGAGCTGAAAAGGAGAAAATGAGAGAAAAGGTGCAGAAGATTATAGCTCATGGGATTAACTGCTTTGTTAATCGACAGTTGATCTACAATTTCCCCGAGGAACTGTTTGCTGATGCAGGAGTACTTGCTATTGAGCATGCTGATTTTGATGGTATTGAGCGCCTGGCTCTTGTTACTGGTGGTGAGATTGCATCAACCTTTGACAATCCAGAGTTGGTTAAGCTTGGGCATTGCAATCTCATCGAAGAAATTATGATTGGTGAAGACAAATTGATCCACTTTTCTGGTGTGGAAATGGGCCAAGCATGTACAATAATATTGAGAGGAGCGAGGTACATTATCCTGACAGTTTTCTTATTATTGGTTTTTTTTTTCTTAGGTTTTTTTTCCTGTTTTGGTTTCACCTTTTCTGATATTATTCAGTCGTAAGCTGTTTTGTGCATGACATTTTGCCTGTCCACATGGATAATGTTTTGTTAGGAGGGACGGAAAAGTAGGAGGGATAGGATGCTATCTACCTCTCTCAGGAAAAATGTACTTAGATGCAGAGCAAGGAAAGAAGGGAAAGGCCGAAAGGGTCATACAATCCTTGTGCATGCTTTAATAATATGGCCTGTCTGCCTTTCTACTTTATTGTGACACTGAGGAAATGTGTGCGTGCTCACATGCTCATGTGAGCATATGTATGAGGGTGAGCTGTCTACTGATTAACTGTGAAATCTGATGGATGGATTGTAGGATCATATCATAGAAGCAAGTCAACTATCAGTCTAGGTGTTAATCTTTTAATGTTTGATGGTTCTGTTCTGGAACCTTGGGTCATATGTCATGCTTTTGGAAACATGCCTACTAACATTGTGTTTGATGATTGTATATGTTCTTCGATGCATGATTGATGTTTGCGAAATTACATAAATAAGTCACTAAATTAAGCCTAAATATTATCCTGATTCCAGGTCTTATGTCTATGATATATGTTCAATTATTTGATGTAGGTACAAATCTCCTTCCTGGTCTTTTCGTGATCCCTTCTGTGCTTATGCTATATAAGAACATTACTATTCACTTTTCACGCATGTGCGCAATTATTGGTCATGTTGGTTCTTTCACCATTCGATGCAAGTTAGGAAAGGGAATTGTAATAAGCTCACATTACCTATTGATGTGGATATTACAGTTTAATTTGATATTTCATTCCACTTGGCAGCTTCCATGTGCTTGATGAGGCTGAAAGATCTCTGCATGATGCGTTATGCGTGCTGTCTCAGACAGTAAATGACAGCAGGGTTGTGCTTGGAGGTGGATGGCCTGAGATGGTAATGGCAAAGGCAGTGGATGAGCTGGCAAGGACGACTCCTGGGAAAAAGTCTAATGCTATTGAAGCTTTCTCGAGGGCTCTCTTGGCCATTCCAACCACCATTGCTGACAATGCTGGTTTGGACAGTGCCGAGTTGATTGCAAAACTACGTGCAGAGCATCACAAAGAGGGAAGCCCTGCTGGGATTGATGTCATCTCTAGATCTGTAAGTAAAACAAACTAAATTAATGACCAAAAAAAGAAACAACTAAATTTATATTAAGCTAGTTGGAGTGCTATGTGCATAATGCATTCCAATAAATATAATTTCTGTCAAGGATGTATTTTACCTGCTAATAATGAAAGATTACTTCACGAAAATGAAAAATTGTATGTTAATAGCATCATCTAAAGAAAGAGAAAAACGTCCATAAATGAGTTCTTATGTCAGCAAATGTTGATCATATTTTCAAATGAATTAGTACAAATTAGGACATGTAATAAAAGGTCTACCAATTAAGGTAATACCTTTGTTGCTCATCCCATGGCCTGCTTCCCTATGGCGGTAGCTTATAGTAGCTTTGGTTTTTGGAAATTTCTTCCATACCATCAGAGCCAATAAGGGGATTTAAGCTCTTAGGATCTTTCAGGTTGAGATTTACAATCTGTTTTTGGTGAATGGCTGCTGGATGTTTTGGTTTAGCTCTGTTCTCTTGAATTTGTGCACAAGGTTTGGCAATCCTTACCTTTTAATTTGCGGGCCCTGTCTTTTTTAATAATCTAATTTTCTGGGAAGACAAAGAAGTGTGATAAAGAAGGGTTCTTGTATAAGACATCTAATACTGTCTCAAATTCACTGTTCTTTAGGGCTGACTCTTTCGTTTGTGGGACCCATATTATTGTTTGTTTGTCTCTAACTGTTGGGGTTTTTTTGTAGGTAGGAGATATGGCAGAGCTGGGGATTTCTGAGTCTTTCAAGGTAAAGCAGGCTGTATTGCTCTCCGCAACTGAAGCTGCTGAGATGATTCTCCGAGTTGATGATATCATCACTTGTGCTCCACGGAAGAGGGAAGATAGAATGTGAAACTAAGTTTGTGTACTGGACCAAGGTAAAGGCATATGTTGTAGTGCAAACTAGTTTGTGCAGTTTTTTTCATTCACGTAGGCTCTTGTATTATAATTGAGGGATTGAAAAATGTGTTGCAATGCAATTCGGTGAGGAAATGTTTGTGGTTTTGTTTTTGATTCTGTTTGAATAGAAGTGTAGTATGTGGTACTTTTAACTTGTTTCTTGGTGGACTTTTTCTCGTAATTGCTTCAAAAAAGTTGGCAGTGGCAAAATGAAGACACCCGCTTCTCTCCGGCACTATATCGAGTTCTATTCTTTCAGAAGGCTCATTTACTTGTTTAGGGGCAATTGGTATGCATGGGGACTGTTGACTTGAAGATAGAGGGTTATTATAGCAATTATCAGGTTTTTGGGGGGTTGAATGCTAAAATTATACTATTTTATTTAATGTGATCGAATGTCAAAATTACAATTTAAAGGTATTTTTATTCAGGAATGTTCGAACAGTGGGTTTTCCTCCCCTCCGGACTCAAATCCCCCCCAAGTACCCCATTCCACCAATTCCCTTTTCAATGCTATTATAGATAACTGGCACATGGCAAAATAACACAATTAAAGGGCTAGACCTTGCCACCTGAACTGAAAACTTAACCATGGGTAGTTAAACAAGTTCAACGTCACTCTCGCGACCGGTGATTCATCGGAGAATTTTTCCAGTAAACAACTAATGTTTCAAAATGTCGTTGTCTTGCACAGTCAATAGAATTGGCACCTGTAAAACTCCTCCATCAACATTTTTGAAGCCCCTATTAGTTCCAAATATCTCAATCAATTTCAAAAATCTTAACCGCCAAGACCTCTTAAGGTGCTACACTTCTTGCAGGGGAACACACTCGTACCTTCGAAAATCGGTGTCGTTTTCTATTGCGGCAGCGAGGAGCGGATTGAGGCCGCGTAACGTGAACTCGGAACTTATTGAGGAATAATTTGCTGATTCACGATTGAATGAGACTGATCTTTTATGCCTAGACGGATGAATGAGAGAGTGGCAGTATTTCGTCAAAGACCATTTTAAGCAATTCATTAAGTGTCTAGTTATTTCTTTCGGAGTTTTGTTTGTCTCTGTCTAGTTCTCAACATTGCAGTGCGGTGGAAAAGTGGCTTCACAAGTGATGGTGGGAGGGACCAAGATTGTGCCCTCAACTTGTTTAACCATGGTTAGGGTTTTGATAAAAGTGCCAAGATCCTGTCCGTCAATTGTGTTATTTGCCACGTGTCAATTATGTATAATAACATTGAAGGGAATTGGTGGAATGGGGGTACTGGAGGGGATCTGATACCCCTTCCCTCCGAGGTTAGACTTTTTTTTTTTTTTTTGGGAGGTGGCGCTTGGATTTGAACTTGTACTTATTGGACTTATTAAACTCTTATGATAACACTCTTATAATTGCAGTATGATATTGGATAAAATATACTTAAAAAATAAATGTATTCTCTCATGTTCATCAAAAAAAATAAGAATTGAAATTTCATATCAGTTGTATAATACAATAGTTAGTTTTATTAAAGATAATTCATGTCTGAAGATACGGTGTAATGTGAATGATTTTGAGAGAGATATTAGTAGCCGTTGAATGAGTTTATTTGAAACCGTTGAATAAATTTATTGAAATTTATTCTGTTTTATATATATATATATATATATCTTACAATTAAGAAGTTGAATTCCTTACTTATAAAAATACAACAATAGTTAAAATTAATATAATTTTTATCTATTTTGATTTGATGGTACAAAATTTATTCTAATTTTTTTTTTTGCTCAAAAGCACTATCCCAATTTGAGACAATCTAACTTACATATTTTCTAATGACAAACAACTCATTAATTCACACATATTTCTATTTCCCTTATTTTTCTTATGTTCATTTTATTTTTAAATTGTGTAATTAAAAAAAAAAAAAAAAAATATTATTATTTAAAAAATAAAATTTATTTATTAATGTTTGATTTTTAATATTATAAAGTATTTTCAGGCATGAAATTATTGCTAATATTTGTATATGTGAGTTTAATAGATAGAGCAATGCTAGGCAACTGTTTACATTCTGCACTTCAAAAATAAAAAATAAAAATATTTATAAAAAAAGGAATGCTAACATCTTGGGTTACTGTTTATTTCTGGGGAAATCATCAGGTTTAGAAAAGAGGAGTAATCATCATTTGTGTGTGTTGGTTGTAGTCATAAACTCACTCATGCATATGCTGACAAAAGATAGAAACAAACATCATTTGCCTAGGTGGGTTGTTGAAAGTAACTACTAGGGACAGTAGATTTATGTTAAATACTTCAGTTTTTTTTTTAATTCAATAATTAAGAATATCTGAAACAACTTACACTAATTCTCTTTTTGATTCGAATAAAAACATATTATCCATGTCGAAACGAGAATATTCATAATAAATAACTCCCTCATAACTCGACTCTAAAAAATTATCAAAATTTGAATTCTGAACATCTATTTTACCACTTGCTCCATATTAGATAATCGTTTTAAAAAGCTAGTGCCAGAGGCATCAAATCAAAATATTATTTTCAACCATTTATTCTGTTGCTGATTTAATTGTACGTGACCTGGAAATAGCAGAAATAATAGAATAAGATTAAGTAAAAACAATTTACAGGCCACATTCTTATTACACCAAAAAAATATTAGACCATAAAATTATTTTTTAGTACCATCATCCAACCCGTTTAATTTTTTGTTTGAACAATGCTACAAAATCCAAAGAAAACCAAAAATTCAAATTCAAATTCAAATACATATTATTTCTCAAATGAATGTGAGATAAATGGTCCTACTGAAAAAATTGATAGAATCTATTCATCCAAATAATAATATACATTTGAGTTTACAATTTTTTAAATTTTATTTAAATTTAATTGCATTGTTCAAACAAATAACCCTTGTCTGAGTCCGCTGATTTGCATACTATCATCCATTGGTACCAGGAGCTGATTGCTCTTTAATATTGTGTATGTATCATTCTCGTCAAGTCCGGAAATAGACACGAGCCAAATCTTAAATCTTCTGTACTATCTTAGCAAATAAATAATGCTGTAGAGGCCTTAGAACACGAAGCTTCTCTCATTGCTTTCTAATTTCATACAAAAAAAAAAAAATATAATGCATTTAATTTAATTTAAAGCAATAATTTTTTATTAACTTCTCGAAGGATAGGAATGGAAAAAAAGGGGAAGATGACAAAGAAAAATGAAAAAAGAAAGAAATTGCATGGGTGTGCTCACTAGCATATAATTAGTTGACTAAAATCTGTTGTAAATGCTAAATGAAGCCACAATGTAAGTGCTAAATGAAGCTGGGTTTAACCTAATTACATATCCTCCAGTCCAGACTGTTGTGCTGCTTTCATGTTCCATAAGCTCAATAATGGGAGAGTACGAAGAATCAATTTTTCATTACTTAAATGGCATTGCCAGTCTTCAATCATCAGCCTACGCATATATATCACCAGGTAAAATCGTATAATACTCTGGACAGGGCTATCCTAATTGCATTACTGCCCTACCATCTATCATGTGCATGTGTACGTACATATAACAATTGAATAAAGAACAATGGGGACTTAAAAAAATTAATCTAATAATAAAACAGTGACATGATCTTAAGATTTTATCACTTAACATGCCGTTAAATCGTATTAATTAGATTAATTTTTAAAATTTTAATAACATTTCCGTTGAATGAATGAGGTGAAAAAAAAATGGTGGCAGAGAATCAGACATGCATGAAGCCAAGCCATAGACATTGGAGTACTGTTTTTTTAGGTTGAAACCTAATAGTCATCATGATCGTCCAAAGAAAATCTCTGCAGAAATTGGAATAAGGCCTTGTAGGGATTGTTCAAGTACACAAGCCTTTTCTTTCTTATTACCAACTTTTTCCTCGGTTAGAATATACCGAAAACATTCATTTTTCTTGATCTTTGCTTTATACCCCTTTAAATTTCTTAAAGTAGATTCTAGAAAAGAAATAAGGCAAACCCACAACATACTTCGTTAAAGAGATTCAACAGCATGCGTCAGAGAGGTGAAAGAAACCCTCGTGGCAATCTTACGTCGGAAGAGACGATGAAATAGGAAAAAATAACGATGAATCTGAAAGCTAGGGCTTCTTTACCGAAAAACAGAAAAAAAGACGCTAGGGCTTCATTTTCTTTTCAATGGAAGAAAACCTAGGGTTCCCAACTTGTCGTCACCGAAGATTTACCGGGGAGCTGTTTCTATTTCCGAGTATTAAAACTGAGACAAAAACAAAAGTTAGCCTGATCAAGGAGATACCAGAGTCACACACACACACACACATATATTACATAAAAAGAAAAACATAATTAAGGGGTGGAGAAAATAGGGATGAAGCAAATAATAGGATCAGTGAAGCTCTTTACCTTTATCTTTCGTTACAAATAGAAGAATATAAGAGAAAAGAGAGAGGACCAGTTCCGAGAAGCATATCACGTGGGTTTTACAAAGAGAAACAAACAGAGCTCATTTGGCAGTATGCCCACCTCCTCCCATATATGAGAGAGAGAGAAAGAGAGTTAGGTTTCATCTGTCTTTTGCTCTTTTTTTCTAGTAGGAGGTGGACAGAATGCCAATAAACTCTGTAAGAGTCACTTTGTTAAACCACCATGAAAACCACGAGCATCCTTCCATTCACCATTGACGACACACATATAAACTCACAAACACTCTCATAATATTAAACTGGCAAGCACTCCATGAGGGGTTGGAAAGAGGTGGGGTGGTTGGGTGCTATTTAAGAGGTAAGATCAGACTAGCACAGTAAATAAGAGAGAGAGAGAGTATTTAATTAAGATGGGTGGTGGTGATGAGAGATGGTTCAGAAAACAGAGAGATTAATCCGATTGGATGGTTCATTCCTTGGGCATATTTAGAAGCAAAGGATCATCATAGATATTCTTCCCTCCC